AATAAAGGGAAAGGCATTGTGCTCACATTCCTACAAAAGGGTAAAAGGTACACGGATGTGTTCAATGTCGGTAGCTTCGTTTTAGTCCAATTATAAATCATAATCCTGATTTTACCCATAATATTATTATAACAATGGCCATATGAATATTGTATAAGTACACGTCAATCGAATTTCAATAATTTTGCAAATGGCTAACTATGGATTACCTAATGTTGCTAATTAAAACGTAATTATTATTGTATATTTAAAATTTTTTTGATTTTAATTTGGCATATTATTTATTTATAATGATGCCCTATTACTTGTTGAATTCAGTACCTTCTAGTACTCCGCACCAAATATGATCCTCTGGGGGTTCATCGCGATATCCATACACTTTAAGCATCTCCAAAAAGGTCGAAATAAATCCTAAGGGATCATATAGGTATGGGACGATTAGGGTGCCTTTTGTACAAACTGAATTGGAATATATATCTACATATTAATAACGAGCTACAAAAGCTAGTTCATGATTTTGGATTTTCTGTTCGTCCGTCCGTCCGTCTGGGTACATGATAATTCACGAACGGTTTCGAATTTTCCCATTCTATTTTCAGTAATAGGTCGACAATGGTCAAATGACTAACTGATTAAATTTTGGTCAATACTCGTCGACCGGAACTGACTAACGATTGCCCTGCCGCTAGTTCAACTTCGAAGTAACATAACGACCAAACGAACTTTTATTGCTCTAGAATATGTAACGGTAGCTTTATATTTTGACTTAATTTTTTTTTCGAAAGTTCGTTGTGAAGTTGGAAGTTTGGAGGCAGTAGCGGTCCCAGGGGGGGGGGCCGTGCCCCCATTGTTCATTTTTTTCATCAGTGTTGGGACAAAGTTCGGGTTTGGGCCCCTCCCTTTACCAAATCCTGGGACCGCTACTGTTTGGAGGTAATGAGGTATGGTGTAAAGGAAGAGCGTTTCTCGAAACTTAAGTTAACAAAAGCGGATTAAACAGTCTCGCAAAAATGAACCTCTCTAGATATCAATCATGTGATGTATAGTAACCAAAATTTAGTACAGGATGTTTCAAATCAAATTGCTTGTTTTCGATATTTTGAGGAAACCTTGGTGCTGGTATCTTAAAAACTAAGCAGGCTATGGAAAATACGAAAATACCCCTTTACTAAGGAAGTTACATAACGTTGATTATTATATTTTTTTGATATTCTCACAAATAACTAAGTTATAAATTAAGGAAAAACGATATCATCTTTTTAGTGACCACTCCGTCATCGCCACTATCCAGGAGCCTGTTGGCTTTAAATAAGAAGTGCCGTGAGCCCGTGAGAGAGACATCGATGTATTTCACGGCTCTTTGAATGAATTAATTAGTCATATAAGATCGTAATTACTATCTAGTTTTAGTTTTAAGTACAGCATCCCAGTGCCATGTAATTGGAATAATTATTGTATTCTGTATGGTATCTGGCTAAACAAATAAATAAATAAATAAATTATAAAGGAAACATTTTTTATTGCATTTTTGGACCTTTACGCTGTTGCGCAAGTCATGGGCGTAGCCAAGGGGGGGTTTTCGGGGTTCAAACCCCCCCGAAATGTTCAAAACATTAATTACAGTAATGTTATATTCATACATTAATAAGAAAAGAGGAGCGCAATACAGTTGCAGTTTCTGTGCTTTATTTTTATTCACATACCTACTTACATATTGACGTTATTTTATGCACTCTTTGTCGTTTTATTTACTTGAACCCCCTCCGAATCTAAAACCTGGCTACGCCCATGGCGCAAGTCATATGTCAAACTTGTTGTCAAGTAACAAGTGCGAACCGCATCACTCTATCTCTTTTAGTTCTCAAAATATCGCCGAAATCATCGAAAACAAGCAATTTGGAACACGAACACCCTGTACATATATGTTTCCATTGTATTTCCCAATGTATTAATTTGGTGGGGAATGGGTGAAAGGGGGGGGGGGGTATGAGGGCGCAGTTTTGGTTGGCCGCCCCGGGCACCAGTGTTACATTACAAGTTTTTTTATGTTGTTGAGAATTCTGTCATTCCCAAAAGCTCCCTCTTATTAGTCATTCCCCCTTTTTTGTATTGACTCAAATTTCTCCAAATTTCTATACAAAATAAGTACCTACCTTATACCTAGCTCTATTTCATTGCAAATTTTTTATTTTCTAAAAATTTCGAACCATTCTTTCCTAAATTTCGTCGTATTCCTTACAAACTTCCACAAAATTCCTACTTCGTCCCGTAGTAATTCCTCGTCTCCCTAGCTTCGTCTAATTACATTATTTCAATGACATAAAATTTGTTCAATTTGTACAAAATAAATGCCACGAATTTCTTCTAATTTTACCCAAACTTCATTTTTTTAAAATTTTCATTTTCATCCCCAAAAGGTCCTACCTTATTTCTTGCGATTTTGATCATATTTCGTCCAAATTTCCACAGGGATTGGGGTCCTTAAAATTTGACCCCAAAACTTCTAGCATTACAATACATTTTCTCATTTTTTATGCGAAACTACCATCTCCTTAAAAACAATTTTTATATTTCCTCCTTCGTCATAATTGTCTCGGGTAGAGTTTCCAAAAATGGTTTACATTTCCCGATCTTTCCTTTTGTTTTCCCCAAAATTTCACATTTTTCCCAAAATTTGGAGCATTAGCTACATCAAATTGGCCCATTTATTCACAATTCAGATCAGATTAGGTTTTCTCCAAAGATCTCTCATATTAACCTAAATTTCCCATAGGCACTTGGTACCTACACGAAAGATTTCCGTGAAGTATGCCTTCTTTTGTCAAAACTTCTCCACAAAACCATCTTCCTAAATGTACTCCAAAGTGATGTACTTATTCCAAAGTCCTTCTTTGAAAATTGAAAAATTTCATCAAATGTCGAAGTTTTAGACACATAGTTTTGAGCAACTTCCAAAGAATACATTTTTTTCCGTCTGTACGTATGTAGGTACGTACCTACGTTGGGAATTTTTTGAATCATTAGGCATATTGAAACGAAGAATAACAGGCAGGATTTTTGCAAAAAACCTTTTTTTAAAATAATTTTTATTAAATTATTTGCAATATCTTAATTTTCTATGTAGGTACAATCTTAAATTGTGGCAGAGGTTTTATTACGAAAAAAATGTCAAAGTAAAAATACTGAATTGTATGTACGAGTACTTTTCAGCCCATGGAGCAATTACGAGAGAAAACTTGATTTTGATTTCGTTCAATTTTTTAAAAAGTACATTAGGCATAAAGGATGTAAGGCACTGCCAAACATGTTTTTAAAAATAGTTTTTAGCGCCGTGACGTTGTAAAACTTTTTTTTCAAATAGTAAACCCGCATTTTTTATTAAAAGAGCGGAGTTTTCGAGTGGTTATCCATCCAGATACTAACCAGGAGCAACGTTGCATGAATTTAGATAATAAATGAAATAATAGTAATAAGCATTAGTAGTAAACACAAGCAAATGTAAAAAAAACGCGCCTGGTGCGCGTTTTTTGGTTTTATGCTAGGAAGCTGTTCTGTAGAAAAGTTGGCACCTGGTTTTACCTTACTGCAAAAAAGTGTTCAAATCGATTTTGATTAATTTGCAAGTCATATCGATCTCAAATATCGATTTTGTTTTAAATGGACATCCTTACTATGCAAGGAATACATCCTTGTGTATATTGAACAAAATTATGTGCATTGGAAATGTTAATAAAAATATGTTTAGTAAGTTAGTATTTTTTTATAGGTAACTATTTATTTATTTTTGGTCTTTATTTTTAAGTGGGTGGGGTTTCAACCAAGGCTGCTCTACCAACCCAGCCCCCTATACATTTACAAATATCCATACCCGAACCCGGACTCGAACCAGAGACCCTCAAGTACCGCAATCGAGTTTCCACGCCATTGCTTATTATAAAAGCTTACAGGTGTAGATTCAAATACTTATGTGTATGGTTGATTGCATACACTACAAGACGCCCAAGCTCCAAAGAATTAAAGGCAATAAAAATACAACATAAGACCACAGACTGTGATAAGGCGGTCATGAAATACATATTAAAAGATCTTAAAATAATTGAATGAACACCACACATGCCACAGAACCGTAGATTATTTCATATTTCAAAAACCGATACAACTGAATACCAAACGATCCTCGAGATCTTCACGCATTCACCATTTTTACAAAACACCATAAGGGGTGATTGTCTCACGAGATCAGCATAGCTTTTAAAACAACATTTTTGATTCGGTATTAGCTTTCCTTTCACTCAAAGTGCCTGCATACAAAATATTATTTAAATAAAAAAATCGGTTTGAAATTTTTTGATTCGGCATTAGTTTTACTTTGGTGCCTACCAGCGTTGAGCAAAAAAATCGACTAATCGATTATATTATTTGATAAGAAAAGGATTTAATTATTGTGCACATACTCTATTATTTTTGATTAATCTATATTCAAAGATATCAAAGTAAAACAGTCTAATAAAAAATTATGTCTATGTATCAGTTTTCAATAATGATCTATAGTCTATAGATTTGAAATGTAGACCACTCAAATCAAGTAAAAATGTGTACATAGGCTACACACTATATACTTCAAACGTGATCCATGTAAAGCTTTTCTTATTCAAAGATTAACCTGAAATGAGTTTAAAGTATTGTGTGTTGCCTAAGTGTGACCCAACTTTCGTCTTTGAATATTGAATTACTCTGTACACACTTGAAAAGCATGAATGAATTCTGGATTATAAAGAAAAAAGGCGGTAAATTTTAAACCAGCTGCAACTTTCATTATTTATAAATACAGCAAGCTTTTATACTAATAATGTGAAAGTTTTGGAAAAGTTAATTAGTTATTGTATATCTAATTATAGCAGTTGGTGTTGTTTCAGCTGTAAATAATTGTAGAAATTTATTAAACAGAAATGGTTATGGTGAATGAACTTTAAATGCACACATACAACCGATTGAGCCATCGTAAAATCACGTCATTACGTTTTTGACAAACGGTACGTCTAGTGACTGTTACATTTTTTTTATTTCATTGAAATAGGGGAAATATGTGGTGGTTTGGAAAAATGTTAAATAAATATAATAAAACCGATTCGCTCTGTTAAAATAAATTGGTGGAAAGTACGGGGTGTTTGAGTATGAGTACTTTATGGCGGCTAGTGTTGTGTCAGCAGGTGGAGTAGAATGAAACGGAGAGTTGGGCGATTTTTTGATAATGAAAAATCACATAAATGAGACCACGCGGGCGCTCGCCCTCAACCAAATGCTATGAAATGCGTATCGTCGAAGCCTCCGCCATCCCCAATTGGACAAAATGTTCAAAAATGACGGAAGAAGGGCACAGAATAAATGGTAACACTGACGGGGGCGCAGTCGTACCTAAGGATGAGACCTCCAAAAACGCGTACAATCAAGGGGGTCGATTGAAATTTTTTAAAGGTAATTAACCCGGCCAGCAGTGGACTCCTTTTAGAGGGTGTGTCATTCTGTTTTTTAGATGGGAAGTTTATTTTGGAGCTGGAAAGGGCGCAGGATGGGGAGAGGGTGTCGTGGGTTTCCGTACCTCGCAAAACTTACTGGCCACCGCAAGGGAACGCTCCCTCGATTCCCACTTACCGGCAGGAAAGCAACGCTTCGCTTAGTGGTATAGTTTCAACGTAGTGTAAAGAATAGAATAGCGAAACATTTTGCCACTGACCTAATTAACATACACTTCCCTTGTGTTTACCTACGTTTTATTTTGTAGCAAAAGCTGTAATGCAATTAAACGTTATAGAAAATGTAATTAAGATCGAAGAATTAATAGCAGTATTATCATAGTAAAAGAATCAAATTTAAACTTTATTTACAGTTAATGTTTCGCGGGGATGATTTATTTTGAATAAGGGGTAATGCGCTTATAATTACGTAGTAAATTTGACCAATGACAAATCTGACTTAAAATGTATCATTCCTTCGGAACGGCTCGACCAATTTTTATGAAATTTGTATATTTGGTAGGCATGAGTATAGGTTCTAAAGTATACTTGATACTGCTAGGTGATTTATTAGTTCACTGGGGGCAAACTTGTCTATTTTTGTGAAAAAACGATTTTGAAAAATCACTGAAAAACTGAAAATGTCAAATTCTGTTTTTATTTTCCCTAGCTTAAACATGGGGAATGGGCGGTTCTTGTTAGCACCTTATACGGGCACTTTTTTAGGAGAATTTGAATCTGTTACCAGAATTTTCATAACATGCTACTTTCTTAGTTCTTATGGGCGCCACATTGGATTTTTACGGAATTTGGATAAAACAAAAGAAATTCATTTGAATGCATCGCCATGTTGATTCAGCAAGATCTAGTTATTCTTGGATGTGGATGTCTTCTATCTAGCGTGCTATGGAATTTCCAGATTCTGTGAAAAAATGTGCAAATCGAAGATGCTAACAGGAACCGTCGGTCTCCTACCGTTTTAGTTAGGGAAAACGAAAACAAAATTTGACATTTTCAGTTTTTTTGTGATATACCAGTATTTTCAAGGATTTTTTAAAAATCTGAAGAGTTTTTAGTCACAAAAATGGGCAACTTTGCCCCCATTTAATCTGCACCGTTGTGGAGACCTCATTACTCGGTCATGGATTTGAACCACCCTGTACATACAGATTGTTGTTTAAAAGTTGCTTAAAATGATCTAAAATGTTGACATTTGGTGGAATTTTGACATGTCCAAGAACAGTGATGGCAATAGCCACTTAGCTCAAGCTAGGACGAGAGCTAGGAATCATCACTGATTTTTATAAAATGTAATTTTTTATTTTCTCGATTTCTACGGTTTTGAAAAATGGAAAATTATAACTAAAAGTATGAACAGAGTACTTTTTTTCTAAAAAAAACGTATTTAGACTTTTGCTCTAAAATAATTAGGGGAGCTAGTAATTGACTATAAACAAATTACCATTGAAATCCCTATGCTGCGTCGCGTTAGGCACCACCTGGTATATCAACTTACAGGTGATGTTCCTTTAATTTCACGAGTCGCCCATTTTTTATTAATGTAACCCATATGATTCACATTTCACAAATAAAGCACAATTTCTCAAAGTCACTACTATTCCTTTTAAAAGTCTCATTTTTCAGCCAAAACAAACATTTTTTCTAAATAAATTCAAAATTTACATTTCATATTTAATTTTTTTTCTGAGCAACCATAACACGCCACCTACCCAAAGATGGTGCAACCCTAAACCTAAAGGGGAGTGAAAAAAAAGTTTCATTCTCTATTAAATTTGGTAGGTATTTGAGTATTTTTGATCATTTTATTAGTACACAAATCGTAACATAATTATCAGTGTCCGCTCGCACCAGATTTTAAAGGAAACATTGGAACATAGAGGGCCATATGTTCTACGAACATAAAAACATAAAATACGCATAATTCCTTCTGGGAAATTTTATGAAAAACTGATATTTGATATCTAAAAATGTGTATTAAATGGATGGAGCGGGTGGAGCGAAGGCTGCTCTACCAACCCAACTCACTATACAGGGTGTCTCATGACGAATTCCGGCTATCTGCATTAACGAAAAGAAGACTTTGGAATATTTAGATAATTTCACAGCATACTAATGGCAATAAGGGAATTTATCTGAAATATTTTCAAATTGGTCCCAACTGGCTTATTTTCAATAAAACACCCTATATATCATAGATTCTACATGAAATTCTGTATACATTTCATTTATTGACATACTTAAAATGCGAGTTAAAATGTTTTTAACTCAAATCATAAGTGCCAATTTTTTCTATATGAGAGCTGTTATTATACAGGGTGTCTCCAAATACGAAAGGGGCTAATTCTTTGACTAAAGGTTCGTTTAAACACAAGTCCTCAAACGATTTGTTACCAATTTACAGGGTGTTATAGTTTCACCGTACACTTTACAATTTAAACTGTGAATTTATAAACATACACAAACACAAGATGCAATTTTAAATGTGTACTGTTAAAAATAATGAAAACGAGAGTATTCAAATAAAGCCATGGCATATTGGACCATTTTAAAAATTTTACTTTCATTTAGCTAACCACCAAAAACTGATTTTTATTTTTTTTCCATAACTATCACAAATACGAAAAAAACACAAGTGTCGAAAAAGTTTTCAAACAAATCAGAAAACCAAATTCTTATTTTACAATCTACCAGTGGCGCACGGAAAAAAGGTTCAAGAGTAGAAAATTAAACATGTTGCTCCCACTGACATGACCAATGATGTAAGCCTTTCAGAGTAAATATTATTTCAAATTTGAGCGAAATATCTTAAAAACTGCCGGAGATATAAAGAAAAAACTTAAATGAGACTTTAACACCCTAACGAAACGTTTGCGGACGTAGTAGATTTATATGAACTTTCAACAATCAAAGAATCAGCCCCTTCCGTATTTACGTCATATTTAGGAACACCCTGTATAAAGAATTGGTTTCCTCAGAAAGGATTCGTATCAAAAATAAAAAGACCAAAAAACGATATTATATGATATCAAATAAAATGAAAACTTCGTGAAAATCGCATTTTGATATCTGTGTCCTCGTCTGTATCCTAAGCAGAGATAAGGTGAAAATACACACACACAAATTTAAATTGCAATATTCATCCAAGTTGACTTTGAAACAAACGAAACACGATTTCTCACAAAAAACTACTCGGCAGAGACTTGATCTTTGTATTGAAAATGATGGTAGACAGTTTTAACATGTGTTTTTGTTTTAAAGCCAACTTGGACGCATATAAGTATTGTTGTAATTTAAATTTGTGAATGTGCGCCATCTCTGCTTAGGAAACAGATATAATATAATAATTATATCATTCCGTTTGACATTTTTAAGAAAACCTACAAAGCTGTCAGACCATGCCCTCTACACTGCCGAGTAGTTTTTTGTGAGAAATCGTATTTCGTTTGTTTCAAAGTCAACTTGGATGAATATTGCAATTTAAATTTGTGTGTGTGTGTGTGTATTTTCACCTTATCTCTGCTTAGGATACAGACTAGGACACAGATATCAAAATGCGATTTTCACTGAAGTTTTCATTTTATTTGGTATCATATAATATCGTTCTTTACAACTCATAACATTTACTAAAAAGACTATTAATGTAAAATCTGATTACACGAAGAGAGGTCCAATAAGACCAAAGAGATGTTCCTTCCCGCGGCCTTGATTTTCATGAATCGTACGCCCTCTAGCGGGAAATTTAGAAACCTGAAAATAATTTCCAGTTTCTCTTGGCCCCTTTTGTTAACAAAATCTTTTTCCTCAAGCTGTACAACTAAGGGTTTCATAAAGATGGCCTGTGACCTTTATCAATAGGACACCCGGTACACATCATTTAAATTGGTTTATTATTCGTGGTGTAAAATTTGTGGAATACATTATACAAAGAAACTGGTTTTTTTTGCTTCCCAGTTATAAAAATAGGGGGTTTCATGTAATAATATATAGGATATTCCATTTAAAGTAAGCAAGTTGGCATTATCTTCCCTTATAACTTGAAAATATTTTAGATGAATTTCTCTTATTGACATTAATATACTATCAAATTTACAAAATATTCCGAGGCTCATTTTTAAGATATAGATAGGCGACATGGATTCTGGGCCAACCTGTACATTTACAATATATTAATTCATATGTAAATCGGTGATTTAATTCGCGAAATAATTCAAATGGCGTTTTTAAAAAAGTCGGAATTAATTCATGCTTCTTCCAATGGGAACAAATTACATTATCTATTCGGCATTCAAATATCAGATGGCATTATGGCCACCGAAAGCAAGTAGCAATAAACATCTGACAATCGTACAGCGTCTAAAACACAATAAGCTGCCCCATGCGCGTGCGTTGGGGTCGGGGATTTTTGGCGATTTTTTCGAAATTTATCTATGGGAATATTCCGGTTAAACCGGAAATGATACCAGAAAATGTCACATAAAAAAAATTATCGTAAAATTATATTTGACAAATTTTTTGTATGGGGCAAAATAAAAGTCTCGACGCACTATATAGCCTGGACAAAAAAGAGATCCGATTTGGAAATATTTTAAGGAGTGCATTAAACAAGATTCAACCAATAGAAAGGCAGTATGTAAAGCGGTAAAACCGAGAGTAAAACATTGTAAGCCAAGGTAAGCTATAGTTAGCTTCATGCAAAAACACAAAAGCAGTTGTAATAATGTTCTTGAAGAGGCAAATACAAGATGTTAGTGAATCAGGATCCTCCATAGATGAAGAGGAAATGCTGTTAGCTCCAATAAAAAGAAAAATAGCAAATTATGTAATCCAAAAAAGTCCGAATTAATTCAAAAAGTTAGACTTTCTTGACTTTTTGTATAAAATTCACGACTTATTCCATCCCTGAATCAAGGTATAGCAATACCAGTTTTCTTGGTTCACAGGTATTGTGAAACGAAATTAGGGATTGGGGTGGATTACGTATTTTGGATGTTTTCAAGGGTTTTTACTAAAATCTGGTGATAAATTGCGGGGTTGGCGTGGATGAAGCGATTTTATTTGGTTTTTGTTTAAATTATTATTTATTATTATTATTATGTCCTTTTTTTTCCATAGGGTTGTTTCACTATTCTATTCTTCACTTGCGCAACCGCACTAATGCTTCATTACAGTTTCAGACGATAACAGTTCCATACAGTCGTCCCCGTGGCAGAGGGATCACTCGTGGAAGCAGGCGACGCCGCGTCGAAATCAATCGAAGGAAATGACATTTTTTTATTATCATCTTAAAAAGTTCTCCAATTGGAGAACGTGTAAAAATCGCAGACGTCCATACGCAATAATAAATCATGTAGATAGCATTTTACGTACTATTAAAACGGAGATTAAAAGTGAACCGACCGAACAGATCAGTGTGTGCAATAAAGTGACAAATAAACTAAGGGAACGCTCCTCTCTAATGGCCGTAGTTCAGATGCTCATAGATAAATGTGCGTCTAGTACACCTCCGCGTTCCGAAATAGTCGTGTCGCCGCGTAAACGGTTTCTGCGCGAGATGGAGAAGGACAAACTGCAAGTGGACGATGCCTGTCAGAAGAGAAGTCGGAATAAAAGTGTAGTGTCAGGAAGTGCGCCGCCCGTTACTATTAAAGTGGAGAGTCCGATCCGATTGAACGGTCTCACGTCCGGGATGACAGAGGACATGCGCGCGCCGCGCAATTGCAGTTATAGTATCACGTCTCTGCTGGCGGAGGATCGTTCACGCTGTTCTCCCAACGATTCGCCGAGCAACTTTTCTCCTGTACCGCAATACTGTTCGCCCCATGAAGATCCTTGGTATTCAGAAAGTGTAGACAGACTACGTTCGATAGAATTGTCGGTAGGTCTTCCCAGAGAGGTTCTTGTGGCACTCATTATAAGGTCATTTTAAAATACTTTGCGCCACAGGTCAAGAAGGTAGGAATGTAAGTGTTGACAAAAACTCGAATCTGAGTTGGAATTTGGGTTTTATGCTATTAAAAAGTAAACTACAGATGAAACGGTACTCATAGCTGACCAATTAAACTTTATGCAAATGCGAGATACCCAGCACCAAAAAAATTCAGGTCAATAGATCTGCTAAGAAAAAAGTTGTATATTTTCTATATTAGCCTAGGGGCCAGGAAAAAATGATCCCATTCTAATTCCACTGCAAGAATTAAATCTACAAACTACAGTTCCACTTGAGGCTCAAACATTTGTTTTTTTCTGTTGTTGGTAATTACAATTCTGTCCTAAAATACTCTAAGCAGAAGCACCATATTAATCAACTGAAAAATTTATCAGCGTGCCATGACAATTTTGAAAAAAATCAGAAATCATTTAAATTTAAATACCATAATGGATACGTAAAAAATACTAAATTGTATTTTGAGTATTTAATCTTATTATTGTGTAAACAGATGTAATGGCGCAAAAAAAAAGTTTGACAGTCTCGCATCCATTGTGCCTAATATACCAGGTGACCAAGAATGGCAGTCGGCCATATCTCAGAAACTAGTAGACAGAGAAATTGCTGGAAATTATTTTCGAGTGTGTAAAATGACCGCTAGGGGGCACAACAGTCATGATCAAATATAAAATTTTAATTTTCTCAGGATTTTAACTATTTAACGTGGTTATCAAAGATAGCCGAGTTGATATAATATCCATTCTTTTTTGTTTTTTCCTATCTTGTGAAATAAAGTGGTGGGGGGAAATCATATGTTTTATTAAATAAATATTGATTTCTCAAGTTTGGCTTACCAACAGCCTAATTGCTTGTATACCTGGGTGACGCGAGGGTGTTGGCTCTTTGGTTTTTTAATGCGAGGTCAACTACAACTATTTTTCACACATGAACAAGTGACCCTTGAAAAAGAACAATTGAATTACCTAAAGATTAATGACGATCTAGATTTTCAAAATGTTTGCCATCATTTTCAATGCACTTTGCAAGTCTCTTCCCAGTGGATAAAACGGCAGGTTGAATTTCGGCCCTCGAAATATTTTGAAGAGCTGTTATTTATTATTTATTTATTTCCCAACAGACAAGACATCTGTTTACAGGACAAAAATTTTAAACATACGTTGAACTAATTAGGTTTAACAGGCATTAAAAAATGTTGTAATTTAAATAAATAGTTTATGTACTTTTTAAAAATATTATTAATATTAAGCATTAAAATTGTCCAATATTATAAAAAAAATTGCCGGTAAAACCAAACAATTCATGTATCTTAATCTATTTTTACTGAAATAGGTATCAGGTATTTAATTCTCTATTTTATCGTGTAAAAAAATAATATCATCTCATTTAATTTTGTCAAGAAAAATCATTGTATATCTAGTTAAATTTCAGTTAACACCCTCTAGTGACGACCATAAAATTACCAGGTATAAAAGCAAATAGGCTGTTGGTAAGTTTGCTAAAATTGATTAAGCCAAACTTGAAAAATCAATATATATTTTTAAAAAATAAAAAAACATTGATTTCTTCTGAGATTTGTCTGAGTTTTTTGCAGGTTAACAAGGAATCCTTAGATATTCATCTTCGTGCAATTTTTATTGAGTTTCGCATATTCTTTGGAGGCGTTTCAGAGATCCCTAAGGAATTTTGCAGAAACTCTTCCTGCTACTTTTGATCGATCCTCTTGAGATTCGTACTGATCACTTTAAAGTTTTTGAATGAATTTCCAAGAAATTGTTAAAAACTTTGAATAAACAATCTGAAGCAAAAACCATACTAGAATAATTTTTCTTTTCTTAACTTTATACGACACTGTGGCGACAATAGGAGCTAAGCCCAGCCCCTATGTTGCACAATAAACATATACATGTTATAAAATTTTCGAAAATGCGCTGGCGTTCATTTATTTTCACTTATTTCAAAAATGGTTTTAATAAAATCGATGCAACGCCTATGTTTTTTTAAGATCTTTAAAATTTGCTGTATGACAACATCAATGGTTGATAAACAAAAAATGGAGAAATTCGTAATTCAATCTTTTAAAAACTTATGAAATCTAGCATGCCGTGTGCTGTAAGGATGCGCGGTATCTCTTGTGTTTACACAGAAAAGAGCTACATTAACTTGTTCAATGTTCCGTTTTGAAGATTTACCTTTGCCCGATACAATCTCCCTGTGTAACACAACTCTGCTCTTTTCAAAGATCTTAAAAAAAGCATAGACATTGCCTTTGAAAAACAAAAGTTGCATCGATTATTTTGAATTGGGGCGGTAATTAGAGGGTGATTATGATTTTTTTTCTGAAAAAAAAATAGGAACCAACATTACTTTTGTCATAACTCGATTACTTTTCATGCTACATATTTGTAAGCACATAAAAAAAGGTTCTATGCGTTCTGCTCGAAAAGCGCATTGTTGCGATGTATCCGAGGATGTATCCAATTTTTTCGGTATGAATAAATAACTTGATTTTTTAAATAGAACACCCTGTATATTTTTAGTTGTCGTGATGTCATTTTTAACCTCTACATTGAAACTTATTCACTTGTTGATTTTTTCTCAATGTTGCCATTTTATTAATTTTAATTAATTTAATTATAAACAAGCCTCTCTTTTATGAATCGTAGCGACCATGATTTTCGACGAAATAAATTTGAGCCATGTCAAGGTAAAGGGCAACACTTTGATAATGAGAAAGTTGGACTTAGTGATACAGGGTGTTCATAATGAACCTATTAATTACATGTTTATAGCTTTATACACCAAAGTCGGCTGTGATAATAAGAAACAGAAGACTGTCCGAAAGTAAACAAGTGTCACAAATGAATTATTTACTGCAAGTTCATCTTTTTTTAAATTCACCCAATTCTCACATGGCGTCGCTGCACCTCGATTTTTAAGTTGAAGGTAAAACTGCACTGCAATGGAGCGACGCGACACTGTGAAATATTTATAATTTGAACCGCTGTGGCAGAACACTGCAACATTTTTGTTCAACAATGATAAGGTGTCTTTTGAGCAAGGTGAAAAAAAATAGTTAACTATGGTACTTTGAAATTCTGAAAATTTTCCATTTCATTCTGACCACCCTGTATCACTAAATCCAACTTTGTCATTAACAAAGTGTTGCCCTTTATTTATTTCTTAACTCTCAAATTTTAAAAAAATTATAAGATAGCAATGTAGATGTTAACACATGACATCAAAACAACTAAAAATATACAGGGTGCTCTATGTAAAAAAAATTAGTTATTTATTTACACCATAAAAACTGGACGCAAGTTGACAATCCCACAAAAGGTTTTTTAAATATTTTTTACGAGGTATGAGCTAGGAAAGACTGACACTATGATGCAGAACTCAGTATAAATTAAAAAAATAGGTACTTTTCCAGTTATTCGTGAAAAGTCATCTGGAAACATGGGTTTTGGTGGAACTTTCACTCGCAAATAGGTCAAAAAGTATGGACTTTCAGAGAATGAGATATTTTTAGAAATTGTGGATAAACAACTGGAATAAGATGTTTAGTAATAGTGGTGAGTGATTGTTTTGAGAAAGAGCACAGGTTTGTTAATCAGTAACCCTGCAACGATCGAGAGGGTTGCAGGTTCGAACCCGGGTTCAAGCATTTATTTATTTATTTATTGGTACAAACTACACAGGGCACAGCCCTAATTACGTAGCAGGTATCTATTACCTATCTATTAATTAAGGGTTGCTGAATAATAAGTATATAATCTAATAATGACATTCAACTAAAAAATGCTACAAACTTTCACCTACAAAAAATTAAAAAAAATATGATACTGTTGGGGTGTAAGAAGCCTTACCAATTTTTTTTTTTTTTGATGAAATAATGTAATGAATAGTACGGGGAAAGGGGGCACAGTAAGACTTATCACGGCCTATAGAGATTGTATGTGGAAGATGAAGAGCGTGTGTTAAAAGATATTTGAAAAATTATGGATCTGCAGATAAGTGACATGTGGTCATGAGGAAGAAGAAAAAAAATAGGGGTAGGTTATATAGAGGACGAGGGATTCTAATGACCCCTGAAAATTCACCTACATTTACTAAAATCTTCCAGAAGTCAACAATGGACGTTAGGATATCAAGAAACTGTAGCAATTTTCCCCCAATGTAAGTTTGGGAAATACCTCAAGAATCTTTCAAGAACCCGCAGAGAATCTTCGATTCAGAATCTTTTAAAAGATATCTCTGTTATCTTTAATCAAAGATATCATCTTTAAAGAAATTCTGAGAGCTCTTTAAAGAACCTCTGATGGACCCTTCATAAACATCTAAATCTTGTGGATGGATCATAAGCTCGGCTTGTCACCTCGCACACCTCCGCTATTGCGCCTACTCATCTTATGGCTCGCTCGTCTTATGGTTAAGGTTAACTCTATTCGCCCTTCTCTTTCAACTGTACTTCGAAATGTGTATTTTTTCCTTAGATTTTGAAATATTTTATTTAACACTTATTCTGCTATTCGAAGCAGAGACCAATCCAAGAAATCAAAGATCATGAGAATCAGATCAGGCGTCCTCGAGTTGTAATAGTGCAACTAACTTCGTTACGGAGATCACAGGGTCGCTTATACGCCTGAAAACGGTCAATTATTAGGGAAAATATACAAGATATCGAAAAAAATTTTGGGGTTCATTAATGACCACTAGGCAGTAGTAATGTTAATTAAATACAGGGTTGGTCATAAAGGCGTCGCACACCAAAATTCTATTTTTTTAACACCCTGTATTTATTTGATATTTCAAAGTTCCTCTTAATTTTCAGCAAAAGTTTCGAAGCATCATAATGTAATCAAATTTAATCGTTGCAGGGTTATCAAGTATTAAAATAAACACTATTATTTTAAAATTGATTGAATGAAAAACAATAATTAATGATTCCAAACAATCATAACAAACATTATAATGGAAATATAGAATAATGTACAGGGTGTCCATTTAAAAAATGCAATATTAGTGTGCCACGCCTTTATGACCAACCCTGTATAATTAAAATTATTACTGCCTAATGTGGGTAGGGAGATATTGCTTTACGTCCTCCATTGAGTATCTGAAAAACTCTAATATTTTTTATTTCAGTGGTAATTTGAATACCCCAAAAAATGCATTGGAGGGAGGGGCAATTTTTTTAGAAATCTAAAGTCAAAATTTTGAAATTTGGTATACCTCTTGTTCATTGAAAAACAGTCACATTAAGAGTAAAGGCCTCCTAGACAGAATATGGTTGTTTTTTTTTGTAAAGTCACGTTAGAATTTTAGTATACTAGGGGAGTAACAATTTTGGCTATACGTGAGCTCTTTACTGTGGAAATATAAATAGTAATAATAATAATAAAGTTGCCTTTTATTATTAAAAAAACAAGAAAGAAAGGTATATGCCGCAATCTGCTGTTCCACTTAACCTCATCCCTGCATTGCCAAAAAGAGAATTGAAATTCGGCAGTTATTAAATGTTTCCTATTATAAACAATTCAGAAAATAATTAGTGACATCTCATTGGAAGGCCTTTATAGTTTTGAAAAAAATTTGCTCTAGCCGTGTGTCACATATCGAGATAATTTAAATGGGCAAAGTTTTATAGTTTCATGTGCCAATTAATAATGGGCACATAAAATTTGAAAACTCCGATTTAGAAATTAGTTTGATTAGTTGAATTTTTTTTAGCAGGTGGATAAGCGGACGCTAGCAGCATACTCTTCATATCCGTACATGTCCCCTTACATGTACCCGTACTCTTTGCCACCGTATTACTCGTCAGGGGTCTACGGCCGTAACTACATGGTACCGCCTATATATCCGCCGCAACCCATGGCCGTCTCGATCAGACACGAAACACCGTCGTGCTCGTGGTCAGCAGACGCTTCAAAAGACTTAGATCACAGGGACGACTCCATTACAGGTATAAACTATTAAATGACTCCTTTTCGATGATAATTAATCTTGTGTTTTTTAAGATATGCCGTTGAACCTGTCTAAACATGCTGGTTGAGCCGAAATACTGCCGTGCCTTCCACACAAAAATATTTTTGTAAATAAATAAATACATTGATATTCTTATAAGCAACATTTAATTTGTATTTATTATTATTAGTGTTGCTATTGATTTGGCAGCAGAGTCTGTAGTTATTCGTCATTTCTTCTTCGAAGTTTAGCTCTCTTAATTGTGCTTGAATATTTTGTTTGTGCAATGCAGATCTGAAAGTTTATAATTGTAATAAACTTGTACCTATTACTTGGATCTTGATTTATGTAAATATATTGCAACATCAACATTTATGTGAGGTGAATGATTAGTGTGACAGAGGTTTCTTTGCCATTTAAGCAGTAAGGCTGACTTAGAAAATAAGTAAACTAACAAGATTCTCATGGCAAATTAATACTTACAATTTTAATAAATTAGTTACATTTATGGAGTGTATTATTTATAGGCCTACGATGAAAACTCGATTAACCTCCTGTGAAATGCAATTGAAAGTGTCATACTGACCATTCATTCCAATGGCGATCAATATTTTGCTTTCTTCAATCTCTGTAAATTTTATAGAGAAAATTTGGTATATATTCGCTTGTATATACTTTGAAATTTTAATTAGTGTAATCGACAGGCAGTAATCTTTAAACAATTGGAGTAGTTCGCTCGGAACCTAAATTTGTAATTTAAATAGGCGAACACGAATACGAGCTGAAAGTTACAAAGAGTCTGTTATGTGTTATATAGGAATGTTTTGTGTATATTTTTTTATATATTATATAGACTGATTGGATTCTTATGAAACTGCTACACTTCCAATTTTTTCTTGTGCTTCCATTTTCTTTTCAATTTCTCACCAGCAATACTGATTTAACGCATGTATACATAAAAGACAATAGAGTGTAATTAAGAATTTGTGTAATTATTAAGTCTTGTATTAGTCCACCATATTTTTTAGAATTTACTGACGATTGATTTTAGATAGAGTATTATTGCGTTGTGCCATTAACACTTAAATGTTTGACTGAAGTTAATTTAACATAAACTAGGCAGTTGCTTGTAATATGTACTTACGAAAATTTTTCCTAAAACGTAATTGGTTATTAAATTCAGTTTCGTAATTGCTTATGTAAGATATCAATTATACATATGGCACTTTTTATTGTGATACATACAATGTTAGAACTTTTGTTTATTTTAACCAGTCCAATTTTATGAACTGACTATTTATATCGTGTATTTCTATATAAATATGTGTCTTGTACCGTCAAATATACTTTTAACACCCTACTTAATTTCTTACATCTCTTGCATGCACAAACTGCCGGTAATTAGTATACTTGCTAATTTATTTAGTTATGAATATATGAATTTCGAGTATAGTAAGCCAGGGTATAGTTAGGTCCACTTTTCGCGCATAAAAATGTACTTAATACAACCGAAGGGTATTATACATTGTGGAACAGCATGTGCATGTCGCCTATGTGTAGAAAGTAATAGACAGAAACCATAGGCTTGTGTCACAAATCTTGGTAGTAGACACGGGCTAATACTATAAAAAATAAGATGTTCGTTGTAGTAATTGAGGACAGAAAGTGATGGCTTGTTGACTCATAACAAAGCAGCATTAAGCAAATGCACCCAGAAAAATGAATCACAGAAGCTAGACCAACTTAACTTGAGCAAAAAATTGCCTGTTTATAGTGCGGGGGTTATAGGTTTCAACCTTGCATTTTGTGATAACTTTATGAAACTTTCAGAGGATGTTCTAGACACCCTAAGGTTCAATTTCAGCTATGCCACAACCCCGAAATGCACTTGCTATAGCGGGTTTCTTAAGTGCAAGGTAGCATTTCAATACCCACCCATTAAATGGGTCAAAAATGTATATCCAGGGTTTGTTTTGTACTTTCTTACATCTAGGAAGGTTGAAGGGAATTGTCAAATACCAGGGAGAATTTATGTAGGGTATTTTACTTGGTTTACCTATTTTTAAGGCGCTTTTAATAGTGCGGGCAGTAAAATCGTGACGGAGACCTCTTGGCTGCTCTATTGAATATTATACCTATAGTTAACTATGCTCTAAGGTATTTAAAGACTTTACAATGCTGAAAGGAAAGTTAACGATAACTATGGCACTAAAATTATTGAACCCTATCTTGAGAACACTCGCCTCCGCAGTCGCACAATTTGGTGCAGGGCATGTCGGACTTGGCACAGCTGCATCTTTGTGTGCAACCTTTTTGAACTAGTAGCCCAATCTTGGAACTGTTTGAAATTATGGATTCTACAGGCCACATTCTATAAGAAAAATTTTTTTACGGGTCGATCTGAGACAATTTTTTTGAGGACCTCAAAAAAAGGCAGTGTATAACCTTCCTTTTTTACCAAAAATCGACTGCACCAAAATATCTCGGGAAAACACTTTTTCTTATTAATTTTGGTGCGTAGAATCCAAAACAATTCGTACTTTTTCGATCAGACTTCTCAATCAAAAGTTATAGATTAGAAACCAATTTCGAAAAAAAATTCAAAGGGCTGTAACTTTTGAACTAGTAGCCCAATCTTGGAATTGTTTGAAATTATGGATTCTACAGGCCACATTCTATAAGAAAATTTTTTTCCGGGTCGATCTGAGACAATTTTTTTGGAGGGCCTCAAAAAAAGGCAGTGTGTACAACCTTCCCTTTTTACCAAAAATCGACTACTCAAAAATTTCTCGGGAAAACACTTTTTCTTATTAAATTTGGTGCGTAGAATCCAAAACAATTCGTACTTTTTCGATCAGACTTCTCAATCAAAAGTTATAGACTAGAAACCAATTTCGAAGAAAAATTCAAAGGGCTGTAACTTTTGAACTAGTAGCCCAATCTTGGAACTGTTTGAAATTATGGATTCTACAGGCCACATTCTATAAGAAAAAATTTTTTCCGGGTCGATCTGAGACAATTTTTTTTGAGGGCCTCAAAAAAAGGCAGTGTATAACCTTCCTTTTTTACCAAAAATCGACTGCACCAAAATTTCTCGGAAAAACACTTTTTCTTATTAATTTTGGTGCGTAGAATCCAAAACAATTCGTACTTTTTCGATCAGACTTCTCAATCAAAAGTTATAGACTAGAAACTAGGGAATGCAATACCGGGATTGCGGATCCCGAAATACCGGGATTGCGGGATCCCGAAATACCGGGATCCCGCAGCATTTTTGCGAGATTAATCCCGCACATAAATCGAGGGATTTGCGGGACTGAGGAATTTGTCGACCAAGGGGACGACTCTGTTTACTTTGTTAATAAAACTGATAACGGCGAATTATTTTTTAAATAATTGTTAAACTTTTTTCGTTAAAAATGTACTATGATTTTAGAGGCACTTTAGAAGACTTTTTGTGCTTTACAGGTAAGTTTTTTTTGAGTTCTAAGTTAGGCCGAAGGTACTTTTTTGTTAAATATTGTGATAATTAGCGATTTATTTTAATACAGAAGTTAACCGCACAGAATTGCTTATTTGCCAATTTATTTAAAGTTTTGCGAGATTCCGCAAATACCGGGATCCCGCGGGATTAACATCTAACAATCCCGCAAATACCGGGATTGAGATTTTGCTGCGGGATTGCATTCCCTAGTCCGCACTGTTAAAAGCGCCTTAAAAATAGGCAAACCACGTAAAATACCCTAAATACATTCTCCCTGGGTATTTGATAATTCCCTTCAACCTTCCTAGATGTAAGAAAATACAAAACAAACCCTGGACATCCATTTTTGACCCATTTTATGGGCGGGTATTGAAATGCTACCCTGCGCTTAAGAAACCCGCTATAGCAAGTGCCGTCCGGGGTTGCGGGGGTGGCGGCGTAGCTGAAATTGAACTTTAGGGTGTCTAGAACATCCTCTGAAAGTTTCCTAAAGTTATCACAAAATGCAAGGTTGAAACCTATTTTAACCCCTCTTAACCCCTGCACTTAGGTGAGAGTAAAAAAATGATTCGTGGGTTCTGCCGATCTTCAGAAATTGTACAAAATGTCTTAAAAAGGTCATTAAAATTGCTATAACTGAATCTTAGAAATTGATTGTTTGGCCAAGACTTAAAATTTTCAAATGATAATTTTGGGTTTATTGATTTCATGTTAAAAGACCCCAATATCAAATTTAATCTAGATCACCACTGTGAGGTGGCGCTGCCTTGAGCTGCAATAGCAATAGCCGTAGTTGCTAGTGTCACTAGGAATATTTTACAAAAAAACCCATCAAATTGTACGGGTTATACCCGATGTAGAATGGAAGACAGATAGGGATGGCCAGACAGAATAAACACCGGCAAATAAGTTTGGGTAGAAAAAGTAGTGCCCTCTCCAATCTTTTCTTGAGTCATCTCAGTGTCCACCCATACGATTCTTTCTAGCCCATTATTATAGGGACAATTTTTGCAAGACAATAATCACCGGCTACATTTTAGGTCACCCTGTATAGACAGGAAGCTTAGCAATCTGGCAACGTCGAAAATGTTCCAATCAAAAAAAATTTGAAAAGTATTAATTTCTAATTAGAGAAATGTAGCACGCGGTAAGTATGTTTAAATGAAATATCAAAACGTATTTGAAAAATTAATTGTGGAAGCGGCCGTAATGAATTACGGAATGTGTGATTTTTTTTTAAAAGTCCGCGCCATTTTTAATTATTTTTCGCATTTTTTTGACAACGTTCAGCATGTGGATGTAAATTCGTTTTCTCTTTTATCGGCTCATTAGTAAAGGTATCATCCGCTATTCTTTTTGGCGCTGTTAATTTTTGTTCATTCTAGTTCATTCTTTATGACCCCAGACGCCAACAGAGTTTTAGAAAATGGCGTTTCTACTAAGCTTGATCGTGATATGTGTTGTGTCAAAATGTTAAAAAAAGTGTATAGAAAAATTTAAAAATGCGATTAAATTGATCGTAATGTGGCTGTAAGAGATTAGTTGTGCTTATGTGTAAAAATGACAGCAAACATGTATAGGGTCGGAGGTAAGATTTTATTTGTAAATTACCCGGCATTCGTAGAAGAGGAAGTCTTCCTCCTCGACGTAGCTTCGCACTAATCTCGTTTTTCGGCTCATTAATAATCGCACGTTAATTGTTTAACTGAAAATTTTGGCAATGCACCGCTTTAGTACCTAACCTCCAGTTATTTGTTTATTTCTCAACTAGCGAAATTCTGTTAAACGTTTTAATGCTAATTAATGCGATTGCCGAACTCATTTTTTATCGTATTGTCTCCTGCGTGTGTGCGCCTTGGAAGTCGAGATGATAAGAAATTTCGGCTTACAGTCGATCAACAGTTGCTTTTTGTGCAATATTTTTCTTAAGACGACGATGGTAAATCAGCTGTTAATAGTTACGTAAGGTTGTTATTATCAAAAGGGAATTGTCCTCAGATTACGTGTACTTTGAGACGTCCTCGACGTCTCCGTACCAAATCCGGCGCATCGAAGAGTTGAATAAAACAACATCGGGAAATGTGGAAGCGAAGGTGATGTGCTTTTATAGGCGAAGGGATTTGCCAGGTCCTCTTATTCAACTCGCCGATAAACACCAATGTAAGTATAATTCCTATTCTTTTTCTGTAAAATGGGGTGTTTTTAATTAGTGGCGTTCAGTTCCTTGCTTTTCACGCATTGCAAATGAGGGGTGGGGGGCAAAAGTCTTGATTAGACGATCGATATTCGCTGACTGTACCTGTCTTGTCACCGACGTGGTGCGTTGTTTCGTGAAATCATGATACAACTGTACTTGATCAAACCGCGTCGCTATGACAACTGGGAGTTGCGTGTTCTTTCTAGCAGGCTGTACTTTTATAATTACACGCAAACACTGGACGAGCCAGCCCTATTCAAAAACACATACCGATATCTAATTATGCGTTTTTGCATACGTTAATTGAAAAGTAATTAGTATTTACTTTAGAGTTATCTTGTCGATTACTCCTTCCGTCCTCTCTAGGTGTACCTATATTGATTTTAAATCTTATGCATTTTTAATCAGGATGTGCCATGCATTAACAAGCGAGAGCGGTTTGGGCAAAAAAATCGCCTACACGTACAAAAAAAGAAGACAATACGCTCACAGCTTCTTTCCGTAGGTATTTAATTAATTGCGAGGGGGGAGGGTTCCGTGCACATGCGCTAATATATTTTAATTATAGGGAAAATAGAGTGTTTTGTCGAAAAATAGTGTGTATTCGGTTTTTGCGCCAATTATAATGGGGACGAGATGCTAATTACCGACTGGCTGGCTACCTTACATTTTTAATTGATTACGTAGACGTGTTTCATTTGTATATCACCAGATAACTCGACTTGCTTATCGCATCCCTACCAATCGCGTATATTCGGTCTTGATCTCAATTTTTCAATAATTCCGCACGATAAACAAATTGTCGGTGGGATTTCACCCACTCCAACAATTCCGACTGGAATCACCTTCGAACGTAACTCGCGGCTTCCGTATGTGCAAATCTGATGGGCAGTGGCCGAACCAAAAGGGGCACTCACGCCGTATTTCATTTTTGAGCAAGTAAGACCGAAATATTCAAATCGGCGGAAATTTGCAGAATCGGAGGGGAAGGGGTTATGATTTCTGTAACGGTCGGATATTTAACGTCCAATCACGCAATAGTTACAGAAATTAGGTGGCTATGACCAATTTGGGCAAAAAGCAAGAGTTTCCGGAAATATTCGGGAATATTCGCACTGAGAGTGAATATTCCCACACCGGAAATTAAGTGAGGAAGAAATTCTGGAAAACTTTACGAGAACGTTTTTCCGAAATTTCCAATTTAATCTTGACGAGGGCGTTAAGTATACGGTGCAGTAGCTCTCGGGAAAGATCTTCATTACACCCACACCCAAGCCTGTTGAGGGCCCAGAAGAGAGGGATAATAAATAAGTAAATAAATTACCCAGGTAGCAAATTTTAAGATCCGCGCCGAGTTTTCCGCGTTTTCGTGGAGGTTTTAGGATTTGTGATTCTCGTTTTTATTTTCAAATTTTTGAATGAATTTGTTTGAATTTTAAAGCAGTGGTTCTCAACCTTTTGGACACCGCGACCCCCTTTTTAGTTTATATAATATTTTGCCGACCCCCCTATGAATTATAATGTTTTTAAATATACTTAATCACAGTCTATAACAGTAGTTTGTCTTTCTTTATTAAATAATCACCGATTAAGCACCACCGGTTAAGAGTTTTGTTGCGAATGTGCAGTAGTTGTTATGGCATAATATGAAACCGAAAAGTTTTTCTTTTTTATGTATGTTAAATAAATAATTTAAAACACACATGCTTTTTATTGTTTTTAAAAAACTTCATTGGTGTATTGTAGATTAGTATACAATATATCTTGAATAGTATAGTGTATGAATATTACCGACAATTCCCGACGAAAGTTCGTGAATATTCGCAACGATAAATAAATTACGGGAATTTTACAACACATACACGGATCCAGAGGCGTAACTAGGGTATGGCAGGCATGGCACGTGCCATGGGTGCCAATCAAGGGTGCGCAAAAAAGGCACTTTTATAGATAGACTTTGAGAGTGGGACATTATTATTTATGAGTAACACTTTTGTCGCTTCTTAAATTTTTTTAAGTCAAAATAACTTAAAAATCATAAATGGTAGATATCAAAAGAACTGAAATTTCACGTAGAATAAAAAATGCAATAAAAAAAAGGGTTTGCTATTTAGAATAACGAAGTTACTAGCTACTTCCGGTATTTCCGCAAGCGCGACCGTTTGAAAAATATTTTACATCGATTCGGCTCTCAGAGTAACTCCTAAGCACAAATTTTCAAAAACCTATATTCACTTTTCCAGAAACGTTTAAATAAAGCTCCCAAAAAAACACCCTGTATATTACAGGTTTGCCTGACAAACATATTTAATTATACAAGACGACATTAAAGCGATATTTTAACCATCCAGAAATTGTTTCCACGTTTTCAGTAAAGAAATTTGTATTTGACCGTTTTGACCTAACGTGATGTAAAAAAAATAGAGAAAATGTAGTGAGCCGAAAGTCGCACAATTCTGATGTGACAGGGATATATTATTTCAATGACGGGATCGCAAAAATTTCAATAACCGCCAACAGTAAAAATTCAGGTACACAAACTAAATCGTTACCTAGGCCTTTTGTTGTTTTGAATGCGTCTGCTTAACCGACGCGCCTAGGCACAAGATCAAAACGAACGTTTACCTTAGAATCCCCAAAAAGTTAAATTTCCATACCTTTTGTAGAAGGGAATGCAGCACTAATTCGCGAAAATTAATGAAAAGGTAGGATATCGATTTAATCTACCTCCAACCGCGGTCACAACTCAACTGGTAACAAATAAATTCAAATTTCGCGTTATCACTTGAAACTGGTTTTCTTTATTCAATGCATCAGTTTCACGGCCTAATCGATTACTCACATTTCTTTCCCTTGTTAGAAAACAAATAATTTTGACCTTCTGCAATGCGCACTTTACAGAATCTCTAAAACTAAATGAGGGTACGAAAAGGACAAATTGTCCCAATTCCGATGTCCCGGAATAACTTTTATCCGTAGGAATATTGGGAAACAGTTTTACAAAAGACGCTTTTGAAAAAAAATGGCATAATTTTGTTTTTGCTTACCAATTTTTGAGAATATCACAAAAAATAGAAGTTATTTAGGTACCTACTTAAATTTCGCTGTGTATGACATTTTTAGCTTTTTCCAATTTACACGTTTTATTGCCTAAACTAGTCCTTTTTCAAACGGGTCAAACATTTTTTTAAATGCCATTGAACTCTTATCTTTTAGCAAAAACGACAATGCAAAAATTCTTCTGTTTAATTTGAAAAATCACTGCTAGAAAAATATAAAGTTCAATTAAAATTTCGATTCATGTTTTTTTCGATAGTTTTAATAACTGACATATTTTATAAAAACGAATTGTGCAATTTTTGGGCTCTGTTTTCAAGTTGTACTTTTTTCAAATTGTACGTATAGGAATAAGTAAAAAACCTAATCTAATGTAAAAATACTTACCTTCCCTTTCGTTTTTTCCGTATGGGTATTTTCCAAAAGTAATTTCTCGCCGATATCACTTTACTTTTCATGTACCATATCGCCCGCTTTTATGTTAACTGTACAGGACGTAACAATTATGTAGTCAGAAAAAGTGGGCACTAAAATGAGAACTATTAAAACAAGTTAAAAAGTAATCGTAAACGATTTACATAAAGCGCATTTCCACTTGCATTCATTTCCCATTTGTAAGATGCAACTTCTGTTAAAATCGTAAAAATCCGCCCACAAATATGAAAGATAGCGTTGCACATGGGCAATCCATTGTTGACGTGCTACTTCAATTTCAGTTTATGAGAAGAATTTCATTTCAATGTTTTTCTAAATAAGAAAGTTGGAACTGCGCATGCGCAAAATAAAATTTTGAAACTGGCGCTAGATTTTCCTTTATTCCAAGTGCCTATGTATCATATTTCATTTAAATTCTTCCATAAATAAAAAAAGTTGGCACTGCGCATGCGCAAAGCCAAATTTTGAAACTGGCGTTTGATTTTCCTTTATCCCAAGTGCTTATGTATCAAATTTCGTTTAAATTCTTCCATAAATAAAAAAGTTGGCACTGCGCATGCGCAAAACCAAATTTTGAAATTTGCGTTTGATTTTCCTTTATTCCAAGTGCCTATGTATCAAATTTCGTTTAAATTCTTCCATAAATAAAAAAGTTGGCACTGCGCATGCGCAAAACCAAATTTTTAAATTGGCGTTTGATTTTCCTTTATTCCAAGTGCCTATGTATCAAATTTCGTTTAAATTCTTCCATAAATAAAAAAGTTTGCAATTCGGTTTATAAATGGTCGAGATGCGAAAAGGGCACTGTGAATTTTGAATCGATTCGATTCAACTTTTGGCATTGCGTATTATATGGCTAAAGCTATGCCCATATTGAATTTCATGCAATTCAGTTCATAACTAACGGAGATGTAAAAGCGATCGAACATTTCTAAACAAAGTTATCGTTCACACGGACAGATAGATGGACAGACAGACAAAGGAACAGACGGACAGACCAACCGACAGGCAACAGATAGCAATGCAACATTATAAACGATCTCTAGGATCGTTAATAAACGGCAAAAGTGTAAAATTATGGAACATGTAATGAACGGTTTTTTGTTTTTTTTACAATAACTTTTTGTAAGCGGTACAGAACAAATTCCTTCCTTGGTACAAGACTCGGCACCATAACGAACCAAATAGCGAAAAAAGTAGAACAATAGCTCTTAAGATAATGAACTAGTAGCGTCGCAAAACGAGTTGACGGACGGACGGACGGACAAAGTGGCCACAATAGCGCATTTTTTTTTTATTTTTGTGGAAATGCGCTAAAAAGCAAGAAAAAAGTTATTCGCACTTTACCGTCCAAAGATATATCATGGCGCTTCCAGAAAGTGTTGTTCCATTTATTTGGAAAAAAATATTTGTTTCTTCTACTGTGTACAGCAGTAATTCTCAAACATTTTTCCGTGGCGCCCCCTTTCTGACAAGCAAAATTTTTCACGCCCCCCTTCTCCAATAAACACTGCTTTACTACAAAAAACGTATCTATCACATTCAAGATGGCGGTCGTACTTAAACACCCTGTATAAAAAAATTTTAACAAGTAAGTAGCACAACCACCATTTTAATTGTTTAAGAACTCATGAATGGTTTAAGCCAAAGGTATCATGTGGTATATGATTGAATTAAAAACAATATGGACATCACGAAGATAACATAAAATACAGGGTGTTCTATTAAACAAAATTATATTAATTATTGTACCCCTTAGCTGTGGTACGCACTGTTTTTTTCGTGATAAATTAAGACTACTCACAGTCACTCTTACAACTTTTGCATTTAATGTGTCCAAGATCCAGATATCTATCATGGGCATCTCGGAAACCATAGGAGATACGAAGATCGTCAAATTCGGGAAAATATGCGCTATAATTAAAGAGTTATTATCATGCTGTAAAAAAACAAAAAATTCTGATTACTTCTGAAGATATCCCAGAAAAACCGAAATTTGCCGATTTGGTTTTTATTTGTTTCTGATGTGAATTGATCAAATACATAGAATTAAAAAACACTTTCTCTTTGCCATTTTGTGAGCTCTACAAGACACTGTTGAGAGATTTTCAATACGTTTCGTTTCGGAGACATCAGCAACTTATTTTTTTATTTGACCTATAAAAAAGGTACACACTGTATTGAGTATCAAAAAAAACAACAGTGGAAAACTGTTGAACCAACAGATTTACATTTTTGTTTTTTTTGTATTCTGTACATTGTACATTCGTAATAAACAAAAAATGTTACTCAATACGGTTTTTGTTTTTAGTAACTTCTACGTTGCACTTGCATGTTTCTTACTCGGTACCAAAAGGAATCAAAGTAATTATTAAAAGCCTCAACTGAGAAAAGCGGCAACACTGCGTGCAAATGGGGGTGGGGTTATACTTTGGCTGATAACATTTGGATGGATTATACTTATGGATAAAATACCGCAATAGTCGCCATCTTTGAGAGAAAAAGTTGCGAGAAATTTGAACAAATAAATTGTCCTCTCATATTAGGGAGAATCGATTTTTTGATCCCGTAAAGATGAGCAGTTTCCCAGATATTCAGGATTTTTGAAAAAACCACCTCTTTTTCAGGGAGATGAAAAATTTTGATCGTACAGAGCTGCGCGGGGGGGGGGGGGGGTTGCAAAATTTTCGTAGATATATGTTAGTAGTAGTATTTTACAGCTATTTAGCCTGGACTAAACGTGAACCTGATTTCAAAGGATTTCTCACATGCGTTTTTTTAGCTTCGTGAATCCCGTCCGTCTGAGGGTTTGAGATCTTTGCACTCAGATCTCGTAGAAGGCTACGGTTTTTTTTTAGTAAATAAAAAATAGTAAATAAAAAATAAAAAGGTTAAATTATTTAACTACAACAGAAATCACGAGCAAAGCAAGCATGATTGTAATCTGGATTACAGATAAGTTAGTTCTTAAATTACGTCAGATAAAGTAAATGTGTCATCTTCTGATATACTATACAAATATAACATGCCAACCGCTTATCAATTAGTTGAAATACTTTTGGCTGCTAAATCTACCTCGATAGAGATTTTTTACAAAGTTCTTTCTTCAATTTTTTTACTGAACAAATCGACGAAGAAAGCATGTGCACAAACTCTGACCTGTATCTACCAAAATCATCATTTTTGTTTGATCTTGTGAAATTAGTATCTTATCAAATATCATTCTAAACAAAATGTTGTTAGCAACATTTTCCCTCTGGTAATACATATGTTCGAAAATCCAATCGGGTGGACAGTCAAAGTGGGTACAGTGCTGCAGCATTTTTTGTTATAGGAAATGCGCAACAAGATGACGTAAATTATTATCATTTAATTACAAGTTTAAAGACAATAAGCAATAAAAGGAAAAATAAAAATGTCCTCACATGATAACATTAAAAAGCGGTATAATTATGTCATAAGAGAAATTCACTTTGTTAATTTATACAAAATTCAAATTAGACTTGCCAAATATTTTTCTCACAGAAAAAAGTAATAAAGAGTTCAATGTTGTTTTTTTAAACAGGGATTTTAAGTACTCAGGCGATTTCTATCTCCTAATCAAATACTACCAGAGTTACAGACTGTATGATGATTGGATGAGAAATAAAGCTCCCCACTTTTCACCAGTTCCAACAAATGTTTATTAGAGATCAATTCATATAATAGCACTGAATCGGCTATATAGCACCAGCTACAGTAAGTAGACAGCCTGCTAAATGTGGATGAGAAGTTACAGACACAAACAGAATTCGGCCACTAGGGGGCGTTTTTCGAATGTAGTCGATTTATAACTTTTTTGATTTCTGAAAGCGTCTACTCGAAGCTACGTTTCCATATTTAATACGCAACTACTTTTAGGTGCCTTAGATGAGTCGAATGGAGGGAGCCAGATTAGCGAAAGAAATGACAATTTTACACCAAAGCAACGCCACCAAATGAAGCATCGCGAGTTATTCTTGTCTCGACAGGTCGAAACCTTACCGGCGACTCATATAAGAGGAAAATGTTCGGTGACATTATTTAACGAAACAGAATCTCTAGCATCTTATTTAAATAAGGATGATATGTTCTTCTACTGTTTAGTATTTGATCCTACGCAAAAAACTCTGCTGGCAGATAAGGGAGAAATACGCGTCGGTAGTCGGTATCAGTGCGACGTGACTTCGCTTCTTAAAGACGGTGAAAGTGACGGACGTGAGTTAACCGAACTTGAGACGTTAGTGTGGACGCCAGAACATAATTTAAGTGACAGACAAATTGATCAATTTTTAGTTGTTGCGCGATCGGTAGGTACTTTTGCTCGGGCGTTAGACTGTAGTTCAAGTGTTAAGCAACCGTCGTTACACATGTCGGCGGCGGCCGCCAGCCGAGACATTACATTATTCCACGCCATGGATACTTTACATCACCATACATACAATCTTGCCAGTGCTCTGTGTTCGTTGGTACCGTCGAGCGGTCCGGTTTTGTGCAGGGACGAAATGGAAGAGTGGAGTGCGTCCGAGGCAAACCTGTTCGAGGAGGCTTTAGATAAATACGGTAAAGACTTCAACGATATTCGCCAAGACTTCCTGCCGTGGAAAACGCTGAAAAACATCATCGAATACTATTACATGTGGAAGACAACCGATCGGTACGTGCAACAAAAACGAGTTAAAGCGGTCGAAGCCGAATCGAAGCTAAAACAAGTTTACATTCCTAACTAGTAAGTGTTGATTTGCGGCTTTAAGACGAGTTAATTCGTTTGTTTCACAGCAATAAACCAAATCCTGCGGCATTGAACAACAACAAGGGAGGCATTGTGAATGGCAGCAGTAATGGCAGCTCCGAATCTGTCGTCTCTCTTGGTGGAAAAGCTTGCGAATCTTGTAGCGGTAAATATCTTTTAGGTGTTTTTTGAACAGTGATCGTATAATAATAATAATAATAATCACACCTTGCCAAGAAAAGTCGTGTGACAATTTGAAAAGTCATTTCATTCTCTCATTAAATCTAACATCTAACTGACTATGGCGGTAGGGGCTGTACATTTTAAATAGAACATATGTAACATGGAGGAGAAAATATTCACCAGTGGGGTGGTACTTAGGGAATTCATAGTCCTTTGAAGCATTCTCGAATTATTTTCGGTTCAGCAGCGCCTGAGAAGGAGAACCCAGGTTAGATGCCGTTTCTGGCGCACCTGTCGAGGTTTTTTTGAGATGGGGAGAACTATGGCAGGGTGCTAATTTTTGTACCAAAAAATGCTTTATTTTTTGTGTCCCTAAAACTTGTAAACGGAATATTAAAAAAAAATAATAAGTATAATTTAGAGGGGGATACTTTTGTATTATGATATGGTACATTTTTTTGGAACCCCCTGTATTTGATTTGAATGCATTTTTTAATTCTATATGTAATTATGCGACTATTTTATTATGTGGTTAAAATACGAAGAACTTGTAGTTTTGAAGACAATTCGATTTATAAGAAAAATCTACATTATAAACAATTAAAAATAAATTTACAGGGTGTTTTCTTTTTAGGGCCAAAGTTACAAAACTTCATATAAAAATCTCTTTTTTTTTAATGGAACACTATATTTTTCCGTCATGGTTTAGCTCCTCCAAAAACCTCAACTCAATAATAATGCCATAAAGACATAAAGACGCGTTTAGACGTATGCAGTAGCTGGCGCCAGTCTTCCTGGCCTGCCAGCATTTAATAGACCGTTTTCTATCAACTGGCATTGTAGAATGTCCAAAAGGTAAAGTTGTCAATAGAATAGCTACATAATATGAAGACAGAACTCGATTTATTGTTATACATTTTGTGAGAATCCATTGGTTACGTGGAGAAATTGAGGAAAACCCAAACTTTTTAAAATGTACAATGCATTCAGATGAATTAGAAGTAATGGTGCTGTCAATAGACACAATATACAAATCCATTGGTCTATTAATATGTGGTGCAGCATGCTCCACAACCGAATTATTTTTTTAATGAGCTTTTAAATGGACGGACTCACTTACTATTTGCCAGTATTACTGGAAGAAATAACCCTTAACGAACATCCAAAAACATGCAACTTCAGCAAGATGGTGCTCCACTTCACTTTTATCGTGAAGCTAGAGATTATTTAAACCACCACTCTCTTCAAAGATAGATTGGCCGTGGAGGTTTTGTTGTAGTGTATGCCACGAACTCAAGGACAAGGCAGAACATGATTAATATAGTTAGGGATGTATGTAATTAAAAAACCAACAAGACCGACATATTTCGAAAACTATCAGAGGTAGGTATAGGACATTATTACCAAAAGTTGAAGGTTTTTGGAGGAGCTAAAAGATGAAAAGAAGTTTTGTAACTTTGGACTTACCAAGAAAACACCCTGTAAATTAATTTTTAATTGTTTCTTAGTAGATGTAATATTTATTTGACTTTTACTTTACCCCTCGCTTTACCCAGGATAAATAGGATATATAGGTTGGGATCAAAACTTAAGTAGTAATTTTGGTAATCAATTGACGCTTGCAAACGTCAAACTTTTCTTATAAATCGAATGATCTTTTCAATTAGAAGTTCTTAGTATGTTAACCATATAATAAAAAAAAAGTCATAGAATAAAAAAATACAGGGGGTTCCATTTTTTAGAAAATGAACCCCCTAGCGCTTTACTACACCCTGTATAATTTGTTTTTAAAATGTGAAGAATATTCAACCATATCCTATTACAAAAGTAGTCTATCAAAAATCTTATCTTCGAGGCATTAAGTTACTCCGTGCAATCATTGACTCACTCTTTATATAATCTTATGCGATTAAAATTTTTATATTTCCGTAAGTGCGACCATTTTGAAAATATTTTGCACAGATTCGGCCTTCAGAGTAACTTCTAAGTACAAATTTTCAAAAATCTACCTATGTCACTTTCCCAGAAACGTTTAACTAAAGCTCCCAAAAAAACACCCTGTAGAGGGAATTCCTTAATATTTTATAATTTCTAACAATAACTTTTGTTTTAAATGTTTTTGTATTTAGAAATAAACTTACTTATTTAAAAAAAATTATTTCTCAAAGATATCTCATATTTCATATCTTTACTAACTGTAAAAAATGCAAAAAAAAATAATCATAAGGGTGCCATGAATTTTATTTAATCCATCAGACAAAAAATTTTGAGAAACACTGCCCTATGTGACTGATTGCATTACCAAAAGGTGATGGGCGGTGGGGTCGTCACTTCCCGACGCCTTATCAAATTTAAAGGCAATTAATTTCTCCACAAAATGATCTTTTTTCACTTCGACTGGTTCAGCTAAAATAGCACTTTCAGTTTTAGAAGCATTGTATTGTGAAGATATAGATATAGGTATTTATATATATTTTAATAATAATAATAATATTGTATTAACTTACTCTTAGATTTTCACCTATGCTCAAGATGAAATTGTTTTAATATTGTCCTAACTTCAATTGTAGTGACTGTGTCAAGCCAGTGGTATGCTTGGGGTCCGACTCATATGCAGTGTCGATTGTGTCAAGTCTGCTGGAATTACTGGAAACGCTACGGCGGTCTTAAGGTGCCGACAAGATTTGGAGAAGGCGATTTTGATATGCTCGGCAAAAAGAAATCGGGTAGTGACGTCGACGAAGACAAAGTGTCCCCCATAATGTCTCACAGACCACACAGGTGTAACATTGGCGGTTGTGGAAAGGAGTTCAAACTAAAAGCGCACTTGGGGCGCCACTACGCGACCGCCCACGGAATTGTAGTCCGTTCAGGATCGCCGAGACCGATTATGAAGACGAGAACGGCGTTTTATTTGTGTACAACACCTTTAACGAAACTTTCGAGACGCTTGTGCAGACACATAATGAAACCGCGACACGCCGCTCGGGCGCCATTCTTCCCCATCAATATACAAGCGGTTAAACAAGAGTGCGGTACTCAAATGACTGGCAAATCTCTTGTAGAACTTAGACAGTTATTAGTGTATAGACGAAAAGATAGAGGTAGTGTTACTAATATCGCCACAAGGTTAGGTAATCCCGGTAATGTCGTGCCCCAGTGGCTTATATTGACGGATAAGGACAGTTTGCCGAAACCCGAACGGGTCGCGTTTCCAAAACCACCTAAGGCTCCAGACGGCAGTCTACTTTACGAACGAGTTCCTAACAAGCCGGAAGCCGAGAAAATTTCTCTCAACAACATGTCGCCTTCGCTGAAACGACGGGCGTACGATGAAATGAACGGAATTGATGGTAAGTACTAGGCTCTTTTGGTACATTATCACTTATTTTATTATTATGTTTACTGGCTTTTATTCTGATTTGGACTGGGACGATGGTAAGGATATTTAAAAAAATTTGCAAATTGCCGCTTACTTATGAATCGTATTTAGGGGCCGTTTTGGCCGGGCCACCAACCAAAAGGCCTAGCAAAGATCCGGCACCCCAGCAGCGGCTAGTACCGGATCAATACGCCGCGGTTATGGCTGCCGCCATGACGTCTGGCCAAACACTACCTCGTCACATAGCTCAAATTAATGGTAAACCCAAAATTGCACACATGACTCGAACGGGGTCCGGTCGGAAGCAGGTTATTAGTTGGATGGATGCACCTGATGATGTTTACTTTCGAGCGACAGATGGAAGCAAGTATGTACATTCAGTTTTTTTTTTTCGTGCTGTTCAAGCTTCATCGATTTCAAAATTTGTTATGGAATAGTGCACAAAATTTGCTTCTTAAGTTAGCTTTAAACAAAAAAAAGCGAGGTACTGTAAGAAGACCTCTTTCATTCAATTAATGAATTTCAATTATTATATGGGAGTTAATTTAGAATATTTAAAAAAATGTAAGCAGATTAAGAGCCTATTCAAAGGTATCGGCAACTTAAAAATTCAAGTACATTTTGAGTTGTTGCTTATATTTCGTCATTCTTAAGTTGGTGAAACTGAAAAATCTTGAGAACTAAAGAAGTGACAGCTAATTTTTGTAAGAGGTTAAGTTAACTCCATCTACTAAATTGAAATATGCTGTGGTTTAACATGAATATTAACAGTTAATGTAATTAAAGTAGTATAATAGGTATCAGTCTGACCAACTTTAAGGTAATCATGAAATATAACTAGCATAACCTCACATTTTGAAGAAATTATGTGAAGTTTGTATGAAGATTGTGGAAAATTGAGGCCTTCTTCTGCAAATTTCTTTGTTGAAAACGCCTAATGAAGGTGCCCTCGAGCCGTTTTTATTAATTTCATGATCGTAGCCATTTCATATTATTGGACTAAAAATAGTTTTAAGGCTGGAGACGCTAAAGTAACAAAATTTGCCGATGTCATTCCATTTACATTACACTAATGGAACAAAATTTTACAGGAAAGTGAGAAGACAGGTAACGTCATCCGACCTACGCAGAGCCGCGCGCAAGCCATGGAGGGTGTTAAAAACCAAAGCAGACGATCTACAAGTTGTCGTACTCGACTGATAATAACTCAGCGCTGCGCTCATGTAATGTCTACAGGGGCACAAATTAAAAGTTACTGAACTTAAATTCAATCACCGCTAGCAATATCACAAAAGTTTTATACAGTGAGTTTGAAAGGAAGGTTTTGTATTTATTGGCAGACAGTGTGAGGGATTTTATATTTATAGATATATTCTTCTTCTTTATCTCTTTTTTCTGTCTCACTACGCACACTTTCTAATATTAATTGTATATACGATATATATATTTTTGAGTTTAGTGACGTGGAGTGCTGATGAGTTATTAAAACCAGTTGTAACGCAATGATCTCGTTATTGTTTACTATGCAAGTGTCGGATGGTGCCACTTTTGTATCTTATGTAGAAAAATGGGCTGGATTATTTTGTTTGCGAGGAGTAATTAGTACCCTTTTGTTCAAATGATTGTTTATTTAACCAGATACTAAACCAATTCATAATAACACAATGCTTTAATGGCAAATGCACCAAAATGGTTCTACATTGAAATGACAATGAAACTGACATAAATTTGGACGTTTTATGCGGTATAAAGCTGATTGAAATAGCGAAACGATTCCCTTGCATTAATTGTTAACGGAACTTATATAATAAAATTTTATTATAAAGGTAGTTACAAATAGGTAGATGGTATAAATTCTGTTACTGTTAATGTTGTTATTATTAGTAGCGTATGTATAGTCAATGTGTGATAAATTGTGTTCATTGGCTAAAAGCCATTGAGTTAATGATCCGTACCTGAAAACTGGCCCATTTTTCTCGACTAACCATCGTATTTTACGAAACAACTACGGTTAATTTTTTTAACTAAGCATTGTAAGTACACGATTTTGTTGTAATTATTATTACAAAGTATACCAAAACATAAAATAGTATGTAATGTAAGTACAATAAAGCATTTAAATTTTAAAACCTACAGATTTTTTTCAGGCGAACACATTTAGGCTATGTATACAATCGGATTTTACTTCCGTTTTAACGTCTATGTCATTTGGGGGAGAGGGAGGGGGGCGCATTGTAAAATGTAATAACTTCAGTTATAAAAAGTCAATGGTGCTTATTTTAATGTAGTCATGCAATAAGTGCATACTTTTATTCTTTTTGTCAAATTATTTATTGCTATTAATAATTCTCTTTTGTAATTATGATGTAAATAGTAGTTCAAAAATAGTGATATTGTTAGAAGGTGATAACAGTGTAAATTGTATAATTTGTATAATGGCAATAATTGAAGTGTGACTACTTAAAAGAAATGGTAAGATAAACCAGGACTTAGTCGGAAGAAACTGCTGGAAATTGTGTAGATATCATTTAATTTAAATAAATGGCGTTTCTTACTTCTTTAGGAAAGTTCGTAACTATGAATGGTAGTTTAATTTACATTTTTTTCATAAATAAAAACTATGAAGCACTGAGAGTTTCTATTTTAATATGAAAGTACCCTTGCATGGTCTTCTGTGTATGTTTAGTAGACATTGTTCAGTCGAATTTGAGAAAAATAATTTCAAGTGGGAGTCACTTCCTCAGTCTTTACCTAGCGAATTTTACTGATACTAAAAATGTATATAGGTATGTTGTTTGAATACTGTTATGTTTTTTAAGTAATTTTTCAACAAATTAATGTTCTTTCCTATAGTGCGATTCACACTTAGGTCTTAATGAAAGGTAGCGTTGCCAAATGTGTTGTTGATGTTGCACAAAAGACCCAGGTTGAAGAAAGGTATTTAGCATAACAATGGCAGCTGCTAGTAAATACAGATACTAAATGCATACAGTACATCTATTTTGAGGAGAAGAGCAATTTCGTTAAAAGCTAGGTACTTGAGCTTGGAACTTCAACAACAGGAATGGTGACAACACTGTAATTTTGGTCCATATAAGACTAACATTGCTCTATAAATTACATACTGAACCTTAAAGGTACCTTTACACTATAATATATCTCACATGATTTTTTATATATGTTATATGATATTTACTACCAACATATTTTTCGTATTGAGTTTTAATGTTTTACTTTACACTTGACAGGTTTTTCATATGACTAATACAAGAAGTTACGAAACCTATATAACTTCTCTAAATTAAAATGTTCCAAGTTCCAAGATTGGGCTACTAGTTCAAAAGTTACAGCCCTTTGAATTTTCTTTCGAAATTGGTTTCTAGTCTATAACTTTTGATTGAGAAGTCTGATCGAAAAAGTACGAATTGTTTTGGATTCTACGCACCAAAATTAATAAGAAAAAGTGTTTTCCCGAGAAATTTGGGTGCAGTCGATTTTTGGAAAAAAGGAAGGTTATACACTGCCTTTTTTTTGCCCCGAAAAAAAAATTGTCTAATTTAATATACGTCAAAGGCAAGAATGAAAAGTTATCGCTGGTTTTTTTTTGGTAATTCCAAGGCATATCTGATTAATTATAAAATGAACCTTTTTATTTTGTTGATTTCTACGGTTTTGAAAACCGGAAAATTATGAGTAATAGTATGAACAGATGCAGTATTTTTTTCTCTGAAAAAAAAGTATTTAGACTTTTGCTCTAAAATAATTAGGGGAGCTAGTAAGTGACTATAAAGAAATTACCATTGAAATCCCTATGCTGCGTCGCGCTAGGCACCACCGTGTATAAACATACATTATATTAAAGCCCTTGGGCCATTGCGTTCCAATGTGCGTCTGTTAGAGTTAGAACGTCTATAGCGCCGGGAAGTCCTGACGCAGCCACGCGCGGCGCCGAAAAATTCCAGCGCCGGAACGTCGCGTACTGACCGTTTTCAGAGTAGGGAAGGTGGAAACACAACCTTATCCTGAGTAAGCTAATTATGTTCAAGATAAGCACGTGTTATCGGCGAAGTAGAGTAGATGTTAATTCGTTCCAAAAACACAGGTTAAGGAAGTTCAGTGGTGTGGTTTCAAAAGAAAAGGAAATTGGTTTAAAAAGGAGAGGAAGACGTTAATCAATGCCTTTCTGTCAAGCTTTCTTGGTTCGGTGGACGTTTGAAACGTAGCCGTTTGTTTTGGTGTAAAAAACAGTCAGTCTTGATTAGTTGTAAAGTTGTGTAGAAGAAAGCTACAGTGTTCAAAGAATTTTCTTTACATCGTGATCAAAGTGAAACTTTTAAATCGAATTAAGCGGAGGCGTTTACAAAGACGTTTAGTCGGTCACTCTGCATAGCGAGAGATACTGAGGTGGGCCATTCTCGAATTCTGGGCGATATGATAATGCGATTGCCTATCCTGGAAGGGTGATATATCGGACTCACTCACTCCTCAATTCATATATATATATATATAAGGGAAAAGTACCACTACATCTTTCTTGATGAGGATGTGGCACCCCAAGCAGACACATTCATCTTCACAGATGGATCTAAAATAATTGAAGAAGCAGGCACTGGTATTTACTCCACTTCCATCTCACCCAACCACTAGGCAACTGTATTCCAATCAGAGTTGGTAGGACTAACGCTTAGTGTCAGAAAAGTTTCTATGCATAACATAAAGAACAAAATTATTAGAATCTCCAATGACAACAGGGCTGCCCTGCAGGCACTTGGGTCACCTCTAGGTTGGTTTCCGAATGTCTAGAGCAAGTAGCAACACCCTTCAACTTGCATGTGTCAAAGGGCATGTTGGAACGGAAGGTGATGAGAAATCTGATTAGTTAGCCCAACTGGCCTCAAAGCAGTTGTTTTAATGGTCCAGAGCCGGTTCTTCCACTTACAACTGTAAACAACCCATTGGACCAATCAGAGCGCACTTTGCCATATTTGAAAAATTCCGGTATACGGAATCTGAAGTGGAAAAATATGCACACCCTCCGTGCTTGCGGAAGCTGAAGTGCATCACTAATACAGATAACATTCGCGAATTATGTAAATAAGGGATGTTTTGTTACATTTTTTATTATCTGCCTATTGTTATATAGAAAAAACTAATTTACATTATATAATAAAACGGAAGACAAATAAAGTTTTTATAATCATTAAAACATTTTACTCCTTTCTCACAAAGTCACTTTTTCTGTCCGTTCAAGGCCATAACTACTCTTTGGAATTTGGTAGCGTATAGCTGTGGCATCCGAGACAAGAATCTTGACGATTAATGTGCGCATGCGCAATATCACTTCTTATTTATTAATATTATATTTCGTAGAAATTCCATAGATGCTTCTAGTAAGGGCAAACATATTTTTGCATTAGGTTTATATCAGGAAAGATACTAATTTTTGCCACAACACTACAGACCAGAAAAATTCATTGTACTTTTTTAATAGTAAGTAAATATATGTATCAAAACAAAGATATTTCTGTTAGCTAGCAGTAGGATGATAATGGGCACTATGGTACAAGTAATAATTTCACTAAAAATGATGGAAAATTTGTTTGTAAATGCACATAGTCATCTACAGTATGGATGATAATAATCACAGATTTAAATATATAAATGTCATAACAGTAACAGTAAAAGAAATATATAAACTTTTTAATGAAAGAAGTTATTTATTTTATAATCTTTTATTCCACAATTTTAGAATCTTTAGTTCTTGTGGATGATAAAGTAAAGAGAAAAACACAATAAAAAAACACCAATAACGGTGGGACAATGCTATTTATAATTCTTGTTAAACAAATCGGGTGCGATTTTCCAATAGGGACAACCATAAAAGATGTAAATATCAAAAACTTACGTAATAATAATTAACAATTAAAATAGTTTCGCAACAATAAGCTATGTACAATACAAAATAGAAATCTTGTAAACAATTTCATAAACTCTTGGGAAGGTTTTTTTATACAATTCTCACTTTTGTGCTAAGATGTAAAAAAGTCGAAATTCATATACAGTATAAGATAAATGTGTAGGTTTGGCATCATTGTACTCGTTAAACCTTACATTTACACATTGATGTAAAAAGAGGTATCGGAAAATAGGGTACAAAATTTGTCTAGGTACTAAAATAGCTTGACATGGATTGGGAACATTAATCTCTAATGAACGAATAAAAAAAATTGAGCTAGTCGGAATGAATGTACATGTCAACATTTATAAACATCTCAATAGATATGGTTAAATGTAATACACATTATCTTATAAGGGCACACGTTTTTTTTTTGTTTTTTCAGCTAACATCACAAGTTACTATATGGGAATTGTAAACATTTATACTTTTGACTGGAATTAAACTAAATTTTTCGGTACTATCATGAGTATAAATTGAAGTATTGGTGATGTAGTGCTTCCGTTTCTTCCTTTAACTTAGACAATGCTTTTTGTATACAGTCTGTTATTTCCTTACGGGCTTCCATATCGGTCGCCTTTCTAGCTTTTAATTCCTTAATAAGACCAGAAAAGTCTAAGGGTTCTCCATAGTTAAATGTGAGATTTTTGCCCATCCGCACCATGTACGGAGGAACATTAGGTAAAACGTCGTCCATACCTATATGCCATATTGGAATAACGATTGGAGTTACCGGCGCTTCGTATATCATTCTGCCAACGCCCCATTTTAATCGCATGTGTTCTTTCGTTAAATTCACCTTACCTATAATGGACAAGTGGGTAATTGTATGCAAATGAGATGACTGTGCAAATTTCCATACCTTCGGGAAATATGTGAACCCATTGCCCTTTTGCTAACTGTTCTATACAGAAATCGACGGCCTGCTGGTACACCCCATTCCCTCTTATCACAGGTATACATTTCCCTAACATAAAAAAATACGAATGTGACGCGCACGTAAAGCATATATCGTTAGCAGCTAAAGACCATCGCATAACCGACCTCTGCACTAAGTGTTTTACATCTAACGTGGCTGTAAGAATTGCTCACATTAACAGATCATTACGCAAATACTGTCTACCTACACCACAATCCTGGATCATCGAAACAGGAATGATGATTTGAAATTGTGATGAGCGGAACATTCTTTGGTCTTTCGTTTAAAGCGTATTGTAGTATATCACGATTGTACACCTTTGTTTTATTAAACCATTCTGCAAAGTGAGATAATTAACTGATGACGAGTATGCGTAAAACAGAGCTTGTACTTACGTATAATAATTTTACTAAATAAACCGACACAAGCTATCGTAATACTGGCCGCTATATTCCACAATTTCGAAGAATTTCGTAAACCAGGAATAACCCAATCAATGTTGTAATTTGCTTTATTTCTCGCTGACATCTCAATTATTGTTGCTAATACAAAAATTCACATTTTTTTGGGAATTTTTAAATAATTTTTCTTATTACGAAAATTTTTAATGACTGATAGACATTGCACCACGTTGTTTTTACGTAACTCGTAACTAAAATATACTACTGCACAATGTGCTTTTCAATGGGAACGCGATTACTTTTGTCATTCATTTTCCCTTTTATCCATTACGTCAACCAAAGTGAAAATGTGACAAACAGCTTCGTTGAAGGACATTTCGTCTAAAAATTGTCATTTGAACTACGATAATCTCGATTATTAACCAAAGATGGCAGCTCCGAAGAAAACCATGGTGAAGTTTTCAGATAATTCGATAACTAGGATTTTGACTGTCTTTTTGACAATATAGCCGCGTTTTTAAATAATGAATGGAAACCATGGTGAGAGTAGGGTTCTTGGATCTTCGGTGCTAAGGCCGTATTAGAGACGATGCAATTTTTATTGCAATTCATTGCACGAAAAATTGCTCCGTGCATTGTGAAAAATGGCACGTACAAGTTCTAGCTGAATTTTCTTGTTTAGAATTAGTGCTATTTTTCTTGCAATTAAATAATTATTTTAGCAACATTTAATTAATGTTTAAATTAATTTAAGTGGTATGCACTGGAGAACATTTTCTCCCTACCTATTAATCAAGTTTGTTTAAACGTCACGTTACTCATTATTAACGAGCTCCCAGCGAATTAATAATTTTACGGGGTCTGTCCATCTGTCCGTCCGTTAGCACGATATCTCGATAACGAATGGGCCGATTACGATCAAATTTAATAGATGGATTCTTTATCAAATTTGTAGATCGGAGTTCGTGAATTGGCAATGTAGCCCAACAAATAAGGAAGGCCCTTTTGACATCTCCGTGAGTTATGAACCGAATTGCATGAAATTCAATATGCATATAGCTTTAACCATATAAAACGCAATTCCAAAAATTAAGCCTACTCGATCAGCATCCATAGTGCTCTTTTCGCATCTCGACCATTTATAAACCGAATTGCAAATTTTTTTTATTTATGGGGGCATTTAAATAAAATTTGATACATAGCCATTTGGAATAAAACTAAATTTAACGCCAGTTTCAAAATTTGATTTTGCGCATGCGCAGTGCCAACTTGCTTATTTATGGAGGCATTCAAATGAAATTTCATACATATACACTTCAAATAAAAGCAAAACTAACATCAGGTTTAAAATTTGGTTTTGCACATGCTATAGCCATACCCAAGAGCTCGTTTTCTATATTTGTTTAGTTTATTTTATAAATATGACCAATTCAAAAATTAATATTGCGTCTGCCGTTACTCTCTTTAAAAAAAAAGAAACAAAGAAGACCACGACGCTTTTGGACCAGACAGTGGCCCTCAAAGGGATTACATATGTCCCAAAATTTATATACACACTTTACACCCCCTTGGGCCTTGTCGTGGTCGTAGGGATGGAGTGGTTCAGTGATCAAGGGCCGAAAGGCAGGATCAACTCGGAGTATGACGGCTCAGGTGCGAGAATGCAGACTAAAGACAACAGCAACACCTTCGTGCTTGTGCCGTGTGAGGCGACTGGTAATAGGGGATGAACGGATCCTGGTAGTTGAGTTACCTGAAATGGCGACAGCACATTACTTCGGCCGGAATTTCGTTTAAAGCTGGATTCACATGAATACGAAATCCGACGATACGATCATCCGAAATGCTTATGATTGGTCAATAATTTGAAATGCGCTTGACATTTCAAACTATTGACCAATCAATAGACGTGACGGGAGGTCATGGCTAGCCCACCATGATCAATCGGCGGCGTGATAGGGGTTGGAGGTTCTAAAAATACCGCGCAAGTAGTGTAGGTACAGCCCTCCCCACCACTCTGACCAGGGGCGGACTGGCACGGGGGGGGGAGGGTGGCGATTGCCACCTAGCCTGTAGATCATAATGGCCCGTTGGAAATATATAAGTATGTGCTGTATTTAGTTTCTTGCACTATTCATAAATTATTAACACGTTTCTCTAATTGGGGTTGATGTTAGGTTGTTAAAAAATTCTGTTTTAATTGAAGTGTTTTACAATGAATTTATCATTTTTTGTCGTAGTATTTTGAAAGTGCTGAAATACAATGATAGGCGACGCACCTCGTGTGGATTGTATATTTTGTTACTTTTAATTATCAGCTGTAATTAAAAAAAAACTGTATGGTAATTTATTTTCGAGAAAGGAGTACTTTAAAATGTTTTTGTGGTGCACCTCAGAGCTCCCCCCCCTCCACCTTCATTACTACACTAATACTTTAATGGCCCGTAACCTATGCAATTCCACCTGGCCCGCAGTTAGCCAGTCCGCCCCTGACTCTGACATCACATCACGTGGCCTGACGTCACATTTACGTGCAGTGGCGATAGTAGATCATATGTATGATCCTTAACTGTACCTTAGAGAAGTCATAGTCTAATCTAAGGTATGATCTAAGGTGGTGATAAGTTTGAATTTGTGCGGGAGATTTGAATTTCCGGACGTCTGCCATTTTGTTGCAGTAAATTTAAAGTTTGAGTTTGCGCGGAAGATTTGAAATTTTGAATTTGCGGATGTCTGCCATTTGTTGGGGTAAATTTGAATTTGTGTGGGGAATTTGAATTTTTTACTGTGATTGGCTGCGTAGGTCAGGTCAGCTTGTTGCTACTTTCCGTTTCATTAATTAAAGGGGGGGGGATATCGTCTTGAAGTTTGTTTTAGCGCATTCACCAGTAGCGATTTTTTAAAACCGCATACGAGGTGTGTTCAAAAACTATCGCGAATTTTCAAAAATTATTCATTTATTCGTGAATATCTATTTTGTCCCCTTCAAAGTAATCCCCCTGAGATATTATACACTTGTGCCAGCGCTTCTTCCAATCCTCAAAGCACTTCAGAAAATCATTTTGTTTTATCTTGTTCAGCTCCTCCTTCGATGCCGTCTTTATCTCGTCAATCGTGGCGAAGCGTCGTCCTTTCATGGGCCTCTTCAGTTTCGGGAACAAGAAAAAGTCACAGGGGGCCAGATCTGGGGAATACGGTGGCTGCGGCATCATTAGTGTGTTGTTTTTGGACAAAAGTCGCGCACAAGCAACGATGTGTGAGCAGGGGCGTTATCGTAGTGCAAAAGCCAATTTTTGTTCTTCCACAAATCCGGGCGTTTCTGGCGGATTGCTTCGCGCAAATTGAGCATAACTTGCAGGTAATATTCCTTATTCACCGTTCTACCCTGTGGCAAGAACTCATGTTTTTCACACCAAATTTGATACAGGTTCTTTGTTCCATTTTTTTAAATACGTAAAAATCGAAAACGAACCAAAACACGTACAAGCAAAGCAGCTGTCAACAATTAACTGAACATTCAAAATGACCGAACTTCTCAGCATAAGTGACAGACATGTGTACCAACATAACGCCACAAAACAATCGAAAATCGATTATACTATACGGTATTTAATTCAAAATTCGCGATAGATTTTGAACACACCTCGTATATGGGGGTTTTTGGGTGCGCTGTTCAAGAATCTGATGTTTCATTTTTGGGCGCGGCAATTAGAAATCTCATGTTACATTTTTAAGAAACAAAATGGCGGATCCAAGATGGTGGGTAAAATTAAGAAAAATTGTTTTCAAATGAAAATCGGTTTAGTGGGTTTTTGGGTGCTCTGAATAAGGATCTGATGTTACATTTTCTAAAAATGAAATACCAAGGTGAATATAATGTTAAAAAAGGGGGAAAAAAATTTAAAAATATTCATCTATATAGTCCGAATACATGATTCAAAAAAGTTCGTCATCCATTGGACATTCTTCGCCTTTTTTTGAAATACTAAATTAGTAATTAGCTGCCATAGGTATGAAATTTCTAACACAGAAACGCCCAAAACGTGTCAAACTGTTTATATATTACCTATCAAATGTTTATACACATAAATGCTTTTAACTTTCCTCGAGTGGTGAAATGGTCGTCGATACTGATTACTGTAAACGTTCAGGTAACGCAGATAACGAAAGAATGCACTTAATCCGGCCATTTACTATATCACATATGTACACAGTAGATAGTACACTAACGGACATAAATAATCGTCCTCGTATATATCTATGTCGTTATTGAATAACATACCTAGTACAATAGTAAGCCCTGGTAATTTTCTGAAACAAGGTAATAGGCAAGGAGTATTCGAAAAGAGCTGCACTGGACATGCCTTGTTGGTTCAGGTATTCATTTTGTCAGTGACCATACCTTTTGCGTTAACAATTGTAGCTAAGAAAGTATTAGATCGTGCCAAGACGAATTTAACCCCCATAACTAGCAAGATATTAACGCTATTCGCTTAAAGTTTCCCCCTTCTAATTGCGGCTTTTACTTCCTCCAAAACTTATCGAACCTAAAGCGATTAAAAATAATGCCGGAAGGGCGAGGTACTAACAGGTGGGGTCAAACAATGGATCATCACAAGTTATGTAAGGCAATCAACAAGTACTGTGCTGCATTCGTAATTAGATCTGATAATTAGTGTCTTAGCCAGTACGTGATCCTTGTCATTTCTTATTTTCTTGTCGCTTCCTATTGTTTCCCTGATGATTTTGCCAACAAAGGACATATGGGGTATAATTACAATAATGAAATAACTATATAATTGCCTTGAATTATTGAAAATTGATAGCGTATGCGCAGGAAATGGGTAAAACATTTCGCAAATGCCACTATTCTTTCAAATGTATTTTATTAGTCATACACGAGACCGTAGGTCAATTCGTTCCTTAACGAACGACAGCTGCCACCGATTGCTGTTATTGTAATAGTACAGCAATTGACGGTTTTCCTTAGGGAAAAGTGCGCGTACTTTTTGCACGCCGATGCTTTGGCGCGTTTAAAATTTAATACTGAAATAGTAAGTGGTTTATTCATTTAATAAATAATGAAAAATTACCGGTAATCAACAATAATGAAGGCCGACGCATTAAAAAAATGGAAAAAGAATAGACCTAGCGTAAAAAATTGTTCATCAATTAATGTGCCCTTTTTTTTATTTTAAGCGAGATGAAAAATGTGCAGAAATGTACTGGGCTGTGCAGTGGCGTTTTTCTTCCTACTTTTAATTTGGGGCATAACGTCGCAAAAGCAAATAATCGCCTACGAAGAGTACGTTATTGAACACGAAATATCAATGGAACACGCCAGAAACGCAGCTTTAGCTATCGATCTCAATTCCAGTAAGTTTATTTTTAACACATTTTCTATAAGTAATCGATAAACAAAAAAGTGTTTAACCATGAATTATTGCGTTACGTTTAATTGAAAATTGCGGTTAATTCGAATGCGAAACTTTTACCGCGCGGCAATCCAAAAAGTGGCTAATTCCTTCGAAAAAGCCTTGGATTAATTGAATAAGGTCGGGCTGCTCCAATTTTAATTACGAAGGGTCAATAGATTAGTAAGAATGAAATAATTGAAGAAAATTTCTTGCCATTACTTTAGGAGCAATTAACATCAATTATATCACTTAAATTTCACAGAGAAAATTACCGATTTGAACACGTGATGTGTGTGTTTTTTATGTTGTAATTTTCTAAGAGGTGTAATTATTCTCTTAGATAATTTAGATTACTTAGGTACTTTTGAAAAATTTTGGGTTTGACGGTGGTATAAATTATAGCAATATGGGCGTTTATTTTTTATTCAATCTACTATGAGGGTAGGAGAATTTGAGACATTCATAATCTTGTAATCCATGATCTTTTCTAAGGACGATTTAACAAATGAGTTTGGCAACACATTATGTGACTGTGAATGGGAATTTACCGTTACCAATCTGCAAAATGGCACTTTTCGATAAGGTATAAGAACAGGCGCAGGTGGGCAAGCTGCTGTATTAATAAAAAAAAAAGCTATTATTTATACGTGTTATGAATCGTTAAATGGTTTGAAATTGTTGCCACAATACACACACAAGCATAAAGGAAACTTTACGTTGTGTAAATGACTCATTTTACGCTTAGTTTAATTGCTACAGAAAAACACTTCAGTAGAAGTACCCAAAGAGCCACAAATTATCGAATTTGTTTTACTACATTTCAACTTAGGACATTTTTTGCTTTTTTTGCTGATCAGAAGTGGATTTGTTCTTGGATGAAGACATGATTTGAACATGCCCTGACGATAAATAATCAAAAGTGCGAAAGTGGTGATATTACATTTGATATGGTACTGGCTATAAGCCCACTTGGATTTTCATACAATTCGGTTTATAAATGGCAGAGATGGCAAAAGTGATCAAAGCCCTCGTGTGAGATCGAAGGGAGTTCAGCGCATTTTTGCGTGGCAGATCAGTATTCTATTACTCAGTTTTGATAATTTCCGGCGAATCTTTTTAAAACATTTTTAGAATTCCTGTTTTTGAAAATCCTTAGATCCCCAGAATGTTCTTAGAATTCCTAAATCGTCATAGAATTTTCTTAGAGTCGTCTTGGACTTTTTTCCAAATCACAGTCACTGTAGCCTCAATTTTGGGGTAGGGTTTATTCGAAATTCAAACTGCCAAATGACCCAAACATTTACACTACACGCTATTATCTTTTCTCTATCTAAAAAAGAAACGTGCAAGTCTACATATCAGCAAATAAGCGAACTGCGAATTTTTTATTGTGGTCATGTGGGATTTTTTTTGCCATTTTTTGACCCTTAAATGACCAGAAAGCTCAAAACCTACTTCATTTTTTGCTTCGACGCACCTGATTTCGCAAAGTGATAGGTTTTGTCAATTTTGAATATTTCCATTTTCCCGGGTAACGGACAGGCGCTTCACGGAAAAAGAGAAAATGGTCACACATTCGTCCTACGGTCTTTCCTTAGCGTCCAAAAAAGCAAAAAAAAACTTATGTGACCTCCTTACGAACGCCATAGGTAACTTCATCATTATTAGACATGTCGATTTGCAGTTTTTTTAAGCACTTGCGACTTACGGCTCATGAGAAAACTAAGTTTCATTTTGGGACAGGGCTGTTTCAGAACCGAAAGTACCACATAGCCCAATTTTTACACTACACGCTGTCATCCTCACTTTCACCTTTTCTCTATCCAACAAGGAAACCCGCAAGTCGATATCCCAGCAAATAAGGGAGCTGCGAATTTTTTGTATTGTGGTCACATTCTTTTCTTTGACGTTTAAGGACTCAAAATGGCACCAAACCGATTTCATTTTTGAATTCTATCTCAGTACTAGATTTAGCGAAGAAACTGCAACGAACGATAAGGGGTCGAGGAAGAGGATTGTGGTTGGTAGAAATGAATTTTTTTCGTTGAGACCAGGTTTTTTACCAAAAATCGACTGTACCAAAATTTCTCGGGAAAACACTTTTTCTTATTAATTTTGGTGCGTAGAATCCAAAACAATTCGTACTTTTTCGATCAGACTTCTCAATCAAAAGTTATAGACTAGAAAACCAATTTCGAAAGAAAATTCAAAGGGCTGTAACTTTTGAACTAGTAGCCCAATCTTGGAACTGTTTGAAATTATGGATTCTACAGGCCACATTCTATAAGAAAAATTTTTTTCCGGGTCAATCTGAGACAATTTTTTTTTCGGGGCTCAAAAAAAGGCAGTGTATAACCTTCCTTTTTTACCAAAAATCGACTACACCAAAATTTCTCTGGAAAACACTTTTTCTTATTAATTTGGGTGCGTAGAATCCAAATCAATTCGTACTTTTTCGATCAGACTTCTCAATCAAAAGTTATAGACTAGAAACCAATTTCGACAAAAAATTCAAAGGGCTGTAACTTTTGAACTAGTAGCCCAATCTTGGAACTGTTTGAAATTATGGATTCTATGGGCCACATTCTATAAGAAGATTTTTTTCCGGGTCGATCTGAGACAATTTTTTTTTCGGGGCTCAAAAAAAGGCAAATTTCTCGGGAAAACACTTTTTCTTATTAATTTTGGTGCGTAGAATCGCACGAAAATCACGTGCTATACTAATTCGGGTGCATAGAATCCAAAAGTGACCATAGATTCGTTCTTAGTACCAAAAAAAACGGCAAAAAATAGTACCAAAAAAAGGCAAAAAAAGGAATGTGACCTTCAGAATGCCCTACTTCTCTATTTTTTAGCTTTTGATAGAGGAGGAATGAAAGTATTTAGTGTAAAATATTAGCCTCCTGAGACTTCCGCTTCCTAAAAAAAGTAACTTCAACTTTCGAGTAGAACTGTTCCAAAACCGGAAATCGTAGATGACCCACATTTTTATACCATACGGTTTCATCCTATTATCCAAAAAGAATACTGTAAGTCTATATCTCAACAAATACTTAAGGAAGAATTTTTTATTGGGTTCATGTCGGATTTTTGACAATTTTCGGCCCTTAAATAAAACCCAAAACGGTTCCGCAGTTGGAAACCGACTTAACCTTTGGATCGCACCCAGTCGATTTAGTAAAGAAATAAGTTCTTGTCAATTTTGCAAATTTTGCGAAAATTTTTCCGATATGAAACTTATATCTCATAGTCGTGCTCGTAGAATCAAAAAATGGTCACATATTTGTTCTCGAGTTCTTCCTTAGGACCCAAAATTTTAAAAAAAAACCGGTGATTATGGCCCCCTTCCTCATTTTTAGAGATAGCGACTTACGGATGAGAAAAAAACTCAAGTAAATTATGGAACTTTTGGGGACGTCATTCTCAAGAGAAACACCCAACCCAGACATACATATTTAGTGTCCTGTTCAAAGTTTCTGGTGCCAAATTAATAGCGATTTATGCGAGTAATGTTAATTAACAGGCTTAGTTTGGCTTTTTGTTGGACTTTAGCTAATTAAAGAGGGTTAATTTGTTAAAAATGGATGGCGTGGCAGTTGAGGAGCGTAGAAATCAAGAGTGGTTGAGAATTAGAAATATTCCGAATGAAGTGAGAAAATGACTGTGGGATTTTGATGCAAATAATGAAAGTAACTATTACAACAATTAGAAATTTGATGTGGGCGGAAAATAATCAGAAATCTGTAAAAATAGAGAGGAAATAAATACTTACACAATTTACACAAAAACCTTTTTATGCAGGAAACATATCAGTATGGCGAAGAAAAGACTGAGAAAAACAACCGTCAAGAGATTACGGGAAAAATTAGCGGAAAACTCTTTAATTATTCGCACGAATAACAAAAAGAAAAGCATTTCGTTTGGTGAAACTAAAACTTTCGTTTATTTTCAGTTGAAACTCCGCCGGGATGTCAAAAATGCAGTAAATCCGAAATAAAATACTGCCTAGGAAGCGATTTTATAAACGATCATTGTTGCTGTGACAAAAGATACCACGGTAAGCTATTAAAATCTTATATACAATTTCTTCGTATGTCGGCGCAAAAAGTATGTAGACTTCAGAATTGGACGCTCTGTATTTACGAAAACGTAACGATAAAAAGTGTCCTTTTTTAGTCTTTCCACGTTGCCGTTACTTTATAGTAAAAAAATAGAACCACCTGATCAAATCGTACCAAATGTTATTATTTTCCAAATTTAATTTGCTAGAAGGCATTTTAGGGGCGCAATCATCCCGCTACAGTAACACCCTATCAACTCGTGAAGCGGTAATCGTGAATTAAGAATGCTCAAAGCCGGCGAGTCTACATATTGTTTGCATCGCCAAAATTTATAACATTTGACTGATAATTTGTTGCTAAATGTACCGTATGTATGAATATTTTTAGAAGTGCTTCCATATATTCCCCATACCTGTTATTTGGGGACGCAACTGTGCAAGCCCATAGCAGGGGACTGCTTAACATACAAAACTATTAGAAAATGCTGTTGTACGCGGTACTTAATTAATAAGTGTAAGTATAATAAGTACAATACGCCATAATTAAATAACGTAATGACCTTTATAGGGAAATCGAGTGCACCTAGGCTTCAAGGTTCGATAGATCTGTGGTTATTATTTTTAATGATTGTTGTAGTGAGGTGACATTATGATTGTTGACTTTGTATATAAATTATCTAGAAAATTGTTACGTAATTAATAAGTCGAATTAAAACATTTCAATCTGCAGTTTTTTGTACGTCCTTACAGCTTAAAACATGTTGGAAGATTTCAGGATAAACACTTGTAAATATGAGTGGATGATTGTAGAAAATTTAATTTGTCCAAATGTATCATTACTAGGTAATAGGAATTCATATACCGGGTGGTCATTTTACTTCAATTTTGTTCACAATTTTAATCTTAATTGTAATTACCCAGAAGTCGGAAGTAGGTATTGTGATATGTATGTACCTACCTACCGTATTGCGATTCCGTTCTTTAAAGAAAATATGGTTTTCATTGACAAGCACGCAAATATTCCAGAATTTTGGGGTACCTAGGTAAGTACTATCAGGAGTATGTACCCAATATTAAGAGTGCATTGTTTTTTTTTCGTAATGTGACCTCAAACATTTATTTTATCAAAAAGAATCGAACACTAAGCAATTAGTTCCGTTAAAAAAATGTCCATGAATTTTCCCGGTACATTGAACATCCGATATAGATCAATTTGTAGATAGAGAAATTCGAATTTAACACTTGTTCCGGTTTACGTCCACTTATTCCTTCGCTAAAATCAATGAGCCAACGAAAAGTTTAGGCTCAGTCTATCACACTTTCTGACTTTCACCAGAGTAGTCTTATATGGAGTTTTCTTTCTAAAATCACGATCACGCTAATTCACTTTATAGCACACGAATTCAAAAAACGTAAATTTTCCAGAATATTCGTCGCGATATATACCGGATGGGGGATTAAGTAACTTTTTTAAGCCAAATATTGCAACAAATCTTAAGAGCATAAATGAAAATCTGGATACAGCCTGAATATGGGGATTTATTATCCACGTCTGGTAAATTTTGTATGCAAAATCGTGTCAATTTTCAGCAGTATTTATTGTTTTTTTAAAATATGATTTTTACGAAAGCAAAAGATAGGTCCAGACCAAAAAGAAATAGACAATTATTATGGATTTCTTTAAACATACTTTTTATTTGGATTTTCAGCTGTGGCCCGTGCCGCATATGAAAAATTTTATTTTGGCACATTGGAAAAAATGCCTGCGTGTAGGACAACATGGACAAATTCGTTATTATGTCAATAAATTCAGTTTTTCAATGAACACTCTGTATATGCAGAATTTAATTTTCGGCCACACTGCCCAACAATAGGGCAACAGTCTACGATAACCAAGCTGAAGAAAAAGACACAATTTGCTCGGAAAAATTCGCGAAAACTCGAGAACGCGTTTTTCGATTTTCAACAAAAAGGCAAAAACAATAGGGTTCCAGAACTAACTACCCACAAAATTTCAACTTGATAGCATTAAAATTGTGACGTGTATAGGGGTGACAAGGAAACGTAACACATACATAGTTATTTTTTAAAAATCTCATTTTCGTGGTCCGGAGACAGCCAAAATTCAGACCCCAAGATAACTTTGTCCCCCTGATAGGTCCAATATTGTATTAAGCTGTATTTGGTATGAATAATAACTTTCTACCTACAGGCAACACAGCATACAGCTAAGTAATCAGGAAAACGTGCCTTAAATTTCTCTCCGGCACAACTGACCTACCAATCACTACCACACGGTATATGATTTGGAGAATATTGTAAATACACCCTGTATATATTAACCCAAATTCCATTTTTCTCAAAAACCCACTAGTTAACAGTTATCACTGTTATCAGACACCTTATGTTCAGTTCTCGCTGCTAATTATTTAATATGCCATTAACCTGGGGAATAATAGGTGCAGGTAAAATCAGTGCAGAATTCGCGAAGGCGATCTCAACACTTCCCAATGACCAGCATCAAGTACTCGCAGTGGCTGCCCAAAATTTGGAAAGGGCACAACAATTTGCCGATGATCTTCAGATAGGGACCGCCTATGGGACATATGCCGAATTAGCAAATGATAAACAAATCGGTTTGTAATTGCACTAGGTACGTTGCTCGCACTTAAACCCGCTTTGCACAGATATCGCCTACATCGGAAACGTAAATACGCAACATTTCGAAGTTTCAAAGTTAATGTTAGCGAGCGGTAAACACGTTTTATGCGAGAAGCCTTTGACACTGAACGAAGCCGATAGCCGCGAGCTAATCGCTCTGGCCGCACAAAAGAAACTGTTTCTAATGGAAGCTGTATGGTCACGGTGTTTCCCGGTGTATGCGAAGTTGAGAAGCTTAATCGATGAGGGTGCAATCGGAGAAGTGATGTACGTAACGGCACAATTCGGTCGTGCCTTTAAAGATGTGGAGAGAATAACGTATGTTTCCCCAAACCCATTTGCACACTCTCTAGTTAAAACAGTTCTAAAGAATTAGGTGGGGGAACGATTCTGGATTTAGGAATTTATACGTTACAGTTTGCTCAATTTGTTTATAAAGGACTAGCACCCCTAAGTATTACAACGAAAGGAACATTAAATGGAAATGGGGTCGATGAATCGACATCTGCCATGATAACGTACAAGGATGGTAAGATTGCAATTGTCTCCACCCACTCTCGAGTCGGGCTGATGAATGAAGCTTGTATTGCGGGTACCAAGGGAATGATTAAGGTCTGTCGGGTGTGCTCGTCCCATTATTATTAAAAAATTTTAGGTTCCAAGGTTTTGGGCACCCGATACAATTATAACGGAAACAGAAACATTCCACTATGCGCTACCAAAAGTTCCAGCAATCAAGTTTAGAAATGAGTACACAATAGGATTGTCATATGAAGCGCTCGAGGTAGGAAGATGCATTGAGATGGGTATGTATTATATACGGTGTGTTGAAATTAAAATGCAATATGCCTTGATGTAGGTTTATTGGAAAGTCCGAAAATGACACATGCAGAGACCATAGAACTTGCCCAACTAATGGATAAAATGCGAGCTGATGTGGGAGTGGTATTTGATGGAGAAAGTAAATAGCTGTATTTTATTTTAATAAAAAATGAGAATAATTTTGTAATTTTATTTTCCTAGCTAGGGGTTGTGCATTGTCCAACTATAAAAAGTTCACAGATTGGATTAGTTGATTGGTTGAACCTATCACTCATTATTAGTAGAGACCGAACTTCATGCTTTTATGCATTACGTAAATAATATATGCAGCTCAAGATAAAGCAATAATTTACACGAACTAACAAAAATGATTCACATTGGCGCAAAGAAAATAGTGCATATTTTGCATTTTTGTGCATATTTAAGATAGATTAGCATTTTATAAATTTTTTGAACCATTTTTATCACAACACAAGTTTCCAGTGGTACTAATTGCAACAATCATATTTTTTTATAAATTATAAAGATAAACAAATAATATATCAAATAAAATAAAGATTATAAGATAGAAACAGAACAAAAGAAAACAATAAAATAGAAAAAGAATAAAAAAATAAATGAAAAAAAAAATGGTTCATGGTACTCTAATTAAAGGTCTCAAAGAAAGGAATCAATTTCTACCAACCATAGCCCTCCTCCTTGACTTATTATCGTGATCGGGTATATTCCCTTCACGAACTTTTTAAGATGGACTGCTAATGCTGAATTAACAAATGACACCTACATGGGGGCCGCCATGATGTGCACTCACTTGGCGCGAAATTCAAATGAACAAGCACTAAGCCAACATTAACCTCACGTTTTCTAAATAAATTACTGTGACACAGTCATTTTCCAAGGCTGCAATAGTCTCAAAACTTGAGCACTAGGAAAATTCCCCTAGAAAATAAATAAATGTGGACATCATGGCGGCGCCCATGCTAGGGCGATTTCTACCTCTATGCAACTGTTTGATCAGCAGTCCATCTTAATTTATAAGTTCGTGATTCCCTTATACCTCAAGAACGGATTGTCGGAAGAGGGTACTCACAAAGAGCGATTGAGACGTCTGCAAGAAATATATTCATTGGTGTTGTCAAAACAAAAGCTATTTCGGTTAAAAAAATGCGCTTTATCTGCACAGGAGTTTTACACAATTTATACTTGTTTTTCTTCTTTTGTGTATTATTTCTTGTCCACGGCTGTTTATTAATAAAATATTTCCTCCCTGTTGGGACATGACTTCGTTAATTTAAGAGAATTGTGGATTATTTGGTTATTCAGTTGTTTATATTTTTCTTATTTGTTGAAATTCGAAGCAAACATCTCGAAAGTATCTTTAAAAGATCTTTTCTAAAAGTAACTTAGTTTACTAGCAAAGATCATAGTGTAATACAAGCATTAGCATTTAAGTTAACCCTGTGCTATGGGTTGCTTTAAGCGAGTGGGTGAATGCCACTCTTTTCGGCGGTTAATAATGTTTAATTGATGACAGTCCTAGAATTAAAGGATTAACTCATCTACGCCACTTTTCTTTTATAAAGTCAATACTTTTCGATTCGTGAGTGAAAGTGTCAATTTTTCAACCAAAAAAACAAGTTTTCAAAGTTGGTCAGATGTTTTGTAAAAAGGCGTCATCGGACAAATTAATTGGCATTGTTTACTAACAACGCCACGTGGAAAATAATGAATGCAGGTGTTTGGAGTTCGGAAGATGGCGGTGGAAATAGCGAAAGAATGATGTGGAGCATATGAATGGAGGTGGTTTCACCTTTTAAGTATGAAAAAAGAAATAAACGATGCTGTTTTCAGGTCGATTGGAAAAGCGTATGCCATTGTTGCGTTAAATTATTAGGGGCATATTTAACTGAATACTTTTTTTTCTTGAGATCTCTACCTGAAATACTTCGACAACTAATTACCAAGTTCAATAATTCTCAAAGATAACAATAATTATTATTTTTATTTTTCTTTCATTACTCCTATTACTTATATCTCTGTGTTGTTCATTTGTACGTTTTATATAATTTGGTTTACGTTGCGCAATTTAATTCAATTTAATTATCTTTCAATGCATTTTTACAAATACTGTACCTATGTTTATAATATTATTCTACTTAAGTATACGATTTTAGTTAAATAATTTTAATTTCACTCTTGTAAACAGTGTATTATTGGAATATGTTTTCTGTTTGAGCAATAAAGTATTATTATTATTATTAAAATTGTGTTTTTATTTGTCCGTTTTGGAAACGGGGCGTTCTGTTAATAAAAAGAGTTTATTAGTCTTAAAATGTTTATTATTTCTTTTCTTTTTACCCGAATGGTATTTCCGACCTATTGGTGGTAGGTCTGTTGGGTGGTATTTTGACCGCATACCGTTACACACAGCATTAAATTTTGGCGCCCAACGTGGGGCTAAAGTAGCATATCTTACACTGTCCTGCAGCAAATTGATTGCAATTTTCAAATATCTTAAGAAAACATAGGCAATGCCTTTGGAAAACAAAAGTTGCTCTCCAGTTCCTGTTAAACCGAAAGTGATAAGGGAAGTTTACTGAGAGATGTCATAAACAAATCCGTTTCTCAATATGGTTAGACACACATACAGAAATTTAAACGAATAGATAGCAAAAGGTTACCATAGCGACAAAATTTATTGTATTGAAAATATATGGAACTGTTTGAAATTATGTATTCTACAGGCCACATTCTATAAGAAATTTTTTTTTCCGGGTCGATCCGACACAATTTTTTTTGCGGGCCTCAAAAAAAGGCACCAAAAATCGACTACACCAAAATTTCTCGGGAAAACACTTTTTCTTATTAATTTTGGTGCGTAGAATCCAAAACAGTTCGTACTTTTTCGATCAGACTTCTCAATCAAAAGTTATAGACTAGAAACCAATTTCGAAAGAAAATTCAAAGGGCTGTAACTTTTGATCTAGCAGCCCAATCTTGGAACTGTTTGAAATTATGGATTCTACAGGCCACATTCTATAAGAAAATGTTTTTTCCCGGTCGATCTGAGACAATTTTTTTTGCGGGCCTCAAAAAAAGGCACTGTAATACCTTCCTTTTTTACCAAGACTACACCAAAATTCCTCGGGAAAATACTTTTTCTTATTTATTAATTTATGTTGCTAATAAATTTTCCCCAGCGACTTCGTATTGACGGATATGGAAACCCATCGTACAGAATGTAAACACATTGACACGGTACGCCGCATTATCTATCGCGGTACGCGAAATAGCAGAGTGTGACATAAACCAAAAAAGTTAAAAACAATCCTACAATCAAATCGGGCTCAATTGTGAATCTAAACCATCCGGAGACACACAGAGGCACATACAAAAATGTCTATCCGTTTAGGAGTGCAGTCACAACACATGTACAGAAGAATGTTATACGTAAAGATAATTTTTCACACATAAAATAATATCTATATTTTTTTATTTTATTTAAACAATCGAATGTGCTAACTAATTGATTACCAAGGATTTCTTATCAAAAATAATTAATTTTTATAAAAACTCAAAAAAGTTTAGGTCTTTTTTTATTGTCTCTATGTTTGATACTATTAAGCTTGTTAATTGGGGCAGAAAGTGAGTGGCTTCCTTGGCAGAATTCGTAAACAGCAAAATTCCAAATAAACATTTGGGGTCTGCTTTTTTGGTACCTAGTAGTTTTGTTTTGTTGAATGCTGAGTGATCCAGAAACATAATATAAAGCAGGTAAGTTAATGGGCAGCTCAGTATGTGACTGGTTGCATCACCAAACGGTAGTGGGCGGTGGGGTCGTCACATCCCTACGCCGGATTATAACAGTTATAACTAAATTAAAAATATCAGGGGACCCTATCACCCATTATTACCACACATAATCAAAATAATAATTATGTTCCTTTTGTAGTATACTTACTCCATCTATAAGTTCAAGAAAAAGCTGCCACACAGAAAATCTTTGTGCACTATAATATTTGGTGTTACAATCTGTAACTCAGTAGACTGGTCATTTAATCCCTCTTCCGCACTTCCCCTTACCTACAACAGAAAATAAAAACTATATAAATATAACTAATCATTTGGAGGTTGAATCAATTAAACAAAGATGTATAAGTTAAACATTTTATTTTATATAAAAAATTAGTTTATATTATCTTCGTAACATTCCTTAAGTTCAAGAAGTTTATCGAGACTTTCAGATAACTCCATTTCCTCAAGCCCGGCGGTTATAAACTGCTGTTTGTGTGGAGACCTAAGCTTCTTTGCTTCTTGGTGAAGGCTATCCAACATGCTTCCAATTTCGACACCAGAATGCAAACCCGCCAGTATAGGTACGGATTCTATAACTGAACAGAACATTAATCAAATGTACAAGACAATTTAAATAAATAAATAAATAAGAAAATTTTTTTTTAATGACAGACAATATTATGTATTTAAGAAAAGGTGACAACATTAAAATATTACAAATAAAATTGTTAAAAAAAAAAAAAAAATTTGCAAAAAAAAAAATTTAGCGTATACTATTAATTATACAATTAAGTGTAATGGAAAATGAACTTTCTCTAGCCTTTCAGTATGGATTTTGTGGCTACATTAACCCCTCTGTACATTCATGTTAACTATTTGCTACACTTCACTTTAATCATTTTTTACCTGCATCTCTTCTGCGCGAATCTGCACATATATTTCCATCTACTCCCACAAACTCATCGAATATATCGGGAAATGGAGTTTTAACGGAGATACCTTGGGCAACTGTTGTCACGTTATTCAGACAGAAGTAGTAATTACAGGACAAATAGAAGCTCAGCATTTCGTTCACTGTATTACAGTTGTATGCCGGCATCAGTATCTGCTTGTTGGCTTGTGAAAGTGGACGCTTTAAGCGATCCTCCCAAATACCGCGTAAAGTGAACATTTGCACAAGTTTATCTGTACCTGTAAAGTACAGTAGTTGCTATAGTATAGTATAGTATATTCAATAAAGACGATTTATTATTATTATTATATTGCTTTGAATATAGACTACAGAAGAAGTACCGTTCATCACGATTGAAGTGTATAGTGTGTTGCCTACATACACATTTTTATTTGGGAACTGTAAGAGATAGGTAGGTAGTTTAAATTTGGCAAAGCTGCGTATTTTGATGCTTAACAAAATGCAGTTTTGGAACTCAAAAAATTCCGACTACTTTCGGAGATATCCGGGAAAAAACGAAATTTTGCAAAATCATTTTAATTTTTTACTGGTTATTTAAAAAAAAATTTCAAAATAAATAACACATTATTATGGTCACTTTTATCCCTCTACAAGATGCTAGTTTTAAATTTTAAATCCGACGTTTCGTCTCCGGTTAACCATCATCAATTTTGCATTTTCTAAAAATAAAAACCATTTTGCAAAATTTCGTTTTTTTCCGGATACTCCGAAAGTAGTCGAAATTTTTTCAGTTTGAAAACTGCACTTTGTTAAGCATAAAAATACGCAACTTTGCATATTTAAACCACCTACCTATCTCTTACAATTTCCGAGATCCCAATGGTGGCCCTTGAATTTGAATCAGCCTGTATAGCGGGAACAGTTTAATTTTCAGACAGACAAACGGAAAATCCCCTTAAAGGATAATGTTAAATTCATGCTTCTCATCATTCTTACCACACAGCATTTTTAAAAATGGGAGCCTCTATAACAATAGTCAATAGGAAAAGAAAATGAATTCCACCATTATGTAGATCGATGTTTAAAGATCAAAAGTAAATGCTTCTAATCATACAGAGAGACAAACCACCCATACAAAAATTTATATCAGGTATTGGCCAATACGTGAGTAGCCAAACCACAATGTGGTACCTTATTTCATCTAGGGAGTAGATTTCTGTACTCACTGAATGGGATATACGAGTTAATGGTTATGGCCACCTGGTGTCCATGTCCAGGAACTAAAATATACTGTTCTCACATGTCCATAAGAATGTTGGTTGCCTACACTACAGTTTTGCTATCCACAGGTCATTCATTTTTACAAAAGACTGTACCTATCGTGCAGTTGGGCGTAATGCTTTGTGTAAGAGGTCCTTCCCAATTATCCAAACAATCAATAAAATCCCCATTTTTGCTTAAAGAAAATGGTAAGCAGACACTAGCCGCGGCTGCTGCACGTCCGTGAGTGTTGAAATATGCACAAAAATCGCCTAGACTGTAATGCGATGATTTTAAACGATGCTTCAATGTAATTGTATCTAAAGCCGATGCCAAAATGGCGCTACTGTGATAATTCAAGTTATGCTAAAAATCAACTTCGTTAGATAAAGGCGGCAACAGCGAAGCGATTACATTATAAGAGACATGATGAAATTTACGCGGCTCGCCCGGTTTCCTCCACCCTGTAGCACCAGTACATAAAGGCACAAATAATGAAGTACGTTCGCGTAACATTTCGAAGGCAAGAGCGAGATTCATGACACAAATGGAATCTTTTAACGGACGCCGCTCTTCCTCATCATCAACATAACGAGATGGAATCACAGGAAAAGCCAAAACCGACTTCCTCTCATACTCGTCATTGATATATTCCAAACATGACGATGTCAAACCGGAAAAACCATTCGTCGCATCTAAAGTAACATGAAACCCCTAAAATATTGTCAATTATAGCATATTTCTGTAGGAATACGCACCTGAAAACTGTCGCACTCCTCCACATAATTACGTATCTTATCGGCAAACTCTTCCTCAAACTGATCGGTCTTCCAAAGCATTGCGCCTAAGGGAAATACGTCAAATTCGCTTTCCCCACCGTGCGCGTACTGCTTAATGATATTTACGGTTCTGGGATGAAATCGCGAATACAAAAAATCCGACCAAACGTGCACCTCGCTGTCCAAACGTACGTTCTTTTTTAAGCAATTATGCGTATCTAACTCTTCTTGAAATTGATTTTTTGGTAGTTTGTCAGCTTTTTTAACCTCAACACCTTGCTTCCAAGTCTCGACGGTGGAGGAATGCGTTGGCGGGTCATACAGAGTGCCATTTTCCGGAAGCGTACCTAAGCTACCTTTCAAGTCGACCAGCAACAGGCGAGGTGTATAAGTAACTTCCCCCTTTAATGATCAAACTTTAACATGCGTGAATAAAGTGTGCAAACTTACTTTGAGAGTTACGCCTTCTCGGAAGAGAACATCGTGATTAATTTCAGAAGGTGTTTTGCTGTTGTATGCGAAGCCAGTCTCTTGAATGTTCCAGGAATGTGTTCCGATGAAATTTGAGTAGTGACCGAATTGTAGAGATAATATTTCCCGCGTTTCCATTTCTGTCCTTAGCCTTGTTTTGAGGTTATGGCTTTATTTTGGGAAAATTTAAGACTAATTGCAATGTTGTGACATCTCTTAACCGGCTGTAAGAAGACGATCTACAGCGTGTTCGTTTAATTCAGCGTATAAAAACAACTTACATCAACTGAGAATGAACATCTTGGTTATTTATGCCTTTTGCCTTTATAGCTTAAATGTAATTGATTTTAAACGACAATTATATTCTAAAACAAGTAAGGTATAGAAACGAGATTCGCTACTCGTTAAGTGAGGTTTCTCTAGAAATTTCTTGCGAAAGCCTCAAGAAAGTAGCTCAAGAGATTATTAACAAGTTCTGTAAGTGAGATTTATCAACATTCTTAAAGTCGAGAGATTCTTGGACAAAGGGTTCCTCAAGAGATTCTTGAAGATACCGCATACCGGGAAAGCGATTTCCTATGGAATTTTTCAAAAATATGAAAAGTAAGAGATTTTCAACTGATATACGTAAAATGTTATAACAACTTTTTCAAAAGACTTCTAATCATTTCTTTTTTTTCCAAAAGGAACGTCCATTTCCAGAAGAGTGGAAAGCGTAAACATTCAATAAGTGGGTATACGACCTCAGCATTTAATAAATTAAATTTCATATAATCGTAAAATGTGCCAAAAATTTGTTTAATTTTTATTTGTATGGGTTGTTTTTTAAATTAATTCATAACGAGAACATCCAAATTTTGTTTTACGAGTACTTTTGTAAAAAGAATCTTATGGCCTTGTCACTCAATGGGAGTGCATATCATAATTTAAAAGTAGGGGAAAATGGGGTGCAGGGATAAATGTTAAAACCTTTCCCCTAGCTATATGAACGTTTCATCCTTATCAAAATTGTAATCACTGGTTCGTTTTAAATGAAGGCCCTGTATAGCAACTTTATGAGAAATGGGAGATGCGCCATCTATACTTTATTTTATACACCAATTATATAAACAAAAATAAGAATAGAATGAGGTTAAATAAATTGTAATTGTATAATAATGAAATATTGTCGAATAAACATTCCTAAGGCTTTGTTTCTTATAATTTCTGTATTTTTAAACAACATTAACATAACACTCATGGGTGAGTATCGAAGTGGTAATCCGTCTCTGATTACTCCGATTGCAGCAGCAGACAACAACATGGAAAAAGAATCCAAGCAGCCTGCCGTCAAAAATCTATCCAACTCGGAAGTATCGTACGCACCAAAACACTATTTTGTATATCCCAAACTTGAAACTGAACAAATTTAATGCTCGCAATTGTAGCCGGACACTTTACACTGCGAATCCGATAGAGAATGTCACAGTCTAAATCCACCATGTATCTACTGTAATTTAAATCCTAATTGTATATACGGAGAGGAGGTCAATGTTAGTTGTAATGTAAATCAATTAGTTCAATGCAAAGTAAGTGCTCGCCATTCGCAAGTATGACTAAAAAAATGTGTTTTATCTAGGGTGAACACAACTTTCAGCGTTCGTTCCAATGCCGATACTGTTACCAGACGGAACTTTGGGAGCATGCTTGCGAATTGAAGGCTAACTGCAATTCGGCAGCGACACCTCCTGCATATTACCGTAGCAACTGCACTGTCAATGATGATGTTCTTTGTTTGGGTAATAATCTACGAAAGCGTAGAAGAGCCATATATATGTACTGGGCTTGGAGATTAAACTTCGAATTCCTCTTTCCATAAAGTACTTTTTTTCAAATCTGATATAATTGTGAGGTTTGTGCATGTCTTTCCTTTCACGAAATTTGGGACCTTTTCAAGTTTTTTGGAAACCCAAAGACATAGTGTCTTCATATAGAAGGCCCTAAAAAAGCATTTTCCACAGTTTTTTTAGATGCTTTCCAAGAGCATAGAATGCTGTGGTAAGAACCAGAAACCCTGGTATAAAAGGTCCTAGACAGCTAGAAAAGTTTCTCTTAAATAGAAGAGATCTAATATGTTCCTGAAAGTTTCTAAAAATGTGCTACAATGGTCTGTAAAAATGTTTAAACTCCAAATTAAGGCATTAATTAACACTATCGGCCGGTTTTGATGTTACCATTAACATTACAGGGTGTCCCACGACATGCTATTTTTTAAAGACTTCTGAGAAAAGAGCAAGTATATTAAGGTAATGTCAATAAGAGGAATTGATGTAAAATATTTTCAAGTTCAACTATAAAATACCCAAAAATTTCAAAAAATGAAATTTTTTTGATTTCACCATACAAAATCACCCTTATGTTTTGCACGTAATCAGACACGGTCGTCATAAAAATAGGGGGTTTTCATTTAAAAAATTGGTTTTAAGTTTTTTAATGTTTTTTAAATTGCAAACGTAATTTTTGATTTAAAAATGAAACTATGTAAAAAGCTGCGGGATCGGATATGCTGATATATAGGGTGTTCCATTTAAACTAAGCAGTTGACATCAACTTTTGGTATAGGTAACCACATTGCCACCAAATTGAAATGTTTAAAAATGAAAACAATTTTTTATAATTTCTTTTCCAGGAGGAAGTTTTTAAAATATTGCGAGGTATAGCGCCAGTATTCTTTGTGAGACACCTTGTATAGATTTAAAAATGTATATGGCAAAATATGTATGTGTGGCCTTCTCCACCTTCGTAATAATCAAGAGTATCTTAACGTAAAATGAATGTTTTTTGTAGGGCATCGCACATTCTTTAAAAATATTCGCTGCAATTGGACGGGCGGACGTCGATGGTCCTCTGCGCTAATTCTAAGCGTAGTTTTGGGAGGATTTGGTGCAGACCGCTTTTATTTGGGTCATTGGCAGGAAGGCATAGGAAAATTGTTTAGTTTCGGCGGATTAGGTGTTTGGACGATTGTTGATGTTATACTTATATCGTTACATTATTTAGGTCCTGCAGATGGCTCTTTGTACATATAACTTTGTTTTAATAATAATAATAATAATACGGAGTAGATATTTATTTTACACAGCTGCGAAGAACTCACTTGTTAGGTGCCACAATTGTGGACTTGCGCTTCCCAGGGTACTAGCGAACCCTTCTCGCATGAGTGCGGAGAGCTTTTTTAAATACAGGAATTTGTTTCTACTGAACAAAAAATATGTACGCCTTAAATAGATCAGGTATATAGTGATATTTAGTAAGAAGTAGACATAGGGATTTATATGTATTGTTTTTCCTATGTTTACTTTAAATATTTCTAAAATGTATAGTGGTTAGGTTGGTAGAGTAGTCTTGACCTAAACCCCGCCCACTTAAAAACAAAGGCAAAAATAAAATAATAAATAAATAAATTAAAATGATTCCCTCAATTTAAATACGATGGTGATTCATTGTATACATAATTTATTTTAATAAAAATACAGAATAAATATTTAATACAGAAACATTCCAGTCTTGCTCCCCTATACATTTAAGCCATAAGATCAATTTCATCTGACAAAAATTCACATAATTCAAATGTATCCATGTGGCCTATGTCCTTTTCGGTAACCTACACATAAAATTAATTAAGCGCCGTATGTTGGACTAACAACTTACAGTTATAACAGCTACCGTATCTTCTTCGAGAATACGTAATTTTAGTTGCATATATCCATTCGGATGACAGTCTTGATTTTTGACACAGCAATACCCGTCTAATAATTCAATATTCACAGCCTTTTGATCGTTTTTGAAAACCGTTAGTCCTACGATATTCAAGTGTGGCACCTGGGCAGCTAATTCTACTCGATCGACACTGGTACTAGATTTAAGGGCGTCGTAGATCTTTTGCAATAAGGGTCGGCTTTTCATTTGCAGTTCATAGTTAACAAAGTCGGAGGGGATGCTCTGTAAGTGAAGACGTGAGAAAAGATCGGGGTCTTCAGTTTGTATTGAGGATATAAGTAAATTGAGGTGTTGCACAGCTCTCGGGTGTTTTTCTGCAAGTAACACTGAATAAGTCAAATTGCAAAGGGGAAGCACTTACGGTAGACGATCGCAATATTCTGTGACGTTAAAACAGAAGTTAATAAATCATAGGGGCGACATTTTAACATCCACATACAGAGAAGAATTTCAATAAACTGATCAAGCTCAATTTTGTCCAACGTGATTCGTTGCTGAAGATTAGCCGTAACTGCCTTCTCCAAGGCCTCAGAGTCCACTACGCAATTCAGTCTGCTTATTGAGGATAAAAAGATTTTGACGTCTTTGGTACGCATGTGTTCGGTTAAATGCGCCGTATGAGATCTGATGATTGCACCTTGTAGTAGTTGAATACAATGCGGTATAAATAAATTAAATAATTCTTCATCGTAGTATAAATACTCTGAATACAATGATAGTAAATGACAAATGGCTGTAAAGGTGTAATACTGAAGAGTTTTGTTAAAAAAGATGGTGCAAGAGATTGTTGTTAGTAAATCCTCATCCTGGTAGTTATTGTGCTTGATTGTCTTAATTAGCGTAATTAAAAGTGCAGGATCTTTCAACAGCGATAGGTTCTCGTTGAGTGTTTGTTTCACTTTTTCTAATAAATTCGCATTAGTAAATTTTGTGTTTGTTCGATACGTAGAATTACAAATGATACATAAATCTTCCACAGTTAAGCGCTCTAAATATTGTTGATTGACTGTTCGAAGGCACTTTCGTAGTATAACTTGTGCTTTTTTCATCTTTTTTTGTAAACCGATATAAAATATAAACTTTATAATTTCCTGCTTGGAACAAACTTCAAGACAGCGATCAATATCGTCTGTTGCATAATTATAAAATTTGTACTCTGTGATACGATTAGGCACGACATGCATAAAAGCACTAAGCAACTTTAGAATATTGTTAGGTTCCATGTTGGTTAAACGCAGACAACATTCAACATCTAACTTATCTAATACCTTCCGTAAATGTTGCTTATTTTGACTTAATACACTGACACTGGCTGTGTAAAATAGGTTTGCGATTTGGTCAACGTTAAGGTTGTGCAAGTTGCTGGTTTTTCCATGTATCAAGCTATCGACAGTACTGGAACCATCCAACTGTGACGACCTCTTATCATTCGCATTGTTTAAGTAAACCAGCATTCGCCCCAGAAGAGTATTTTCTGTTAAAGGTGTGATACTATCCCCTAAGAGAGTCTTCGTGTAATTTCTCACATTGCACTGTAATTTCATTAATTTAACGCTCTTTATAGTGGACACAAAAAAATTGATGTACATTTTCACTTATTATTAAAAAAATCATGTGGTTAGAGCTTTTATTTGATTAGCAGATAAGTGGTTTCCGCTTGGGCGAGGCAAATGATAAGGTAAGTTAATTATGTGTTAATAATAATGATAATAAAGTTATTTTGGATGACAATTGTATTTTTGAAGGTTAGGGTTGATTGATGAATTGTGGATACCAAATTACCGACCGATACCGGTAGGCTGTGGCTATTAGTACTAGTTGCCAGTGTACAGGGTGCAACGGGAAGAAACAAAAATTGTTAAATGTTGGCCGTATCATGTAATTCTTTTTAATTTTCTTTTAAAAACTAAGAATTAAGTTTGGATGATCTATTTCAAGGCTACTCTACCAACCCATCCCACTATACATTTACAAATATCCATGCCCGAACCCGGATTCGAACCTGGAACCCTTAGCAGTTTTAACTGAACTGCGCCACACGAGCCGAAGTGTAAGAAACAGAGGGTTGCCTTTGATCAGCTTATTTTTCACGCAGTGTGCCTCTACAGTGGAACTGTTCTTTCCCCGTTCCCAGACAGAGTTGTACTTACAGAACCAAAGTTTTACGTTAAAAGAAGAAATACTCAAACTTACTAAAAATCAGCCTACATATGTCACGTTACAAAAAAATGTACACTTCTTTGCGTAGCTACTGCTACAAAGGTTTAAAGGCCCTTGAAGCGCGTTGAAAACCTAACCGCTCTCCAAGATCCTAGAACAATGGCTTATAAAGCTCTAAAGTGCCTTAAAGCTTATTAAAAACATTTAAAGAATACGAAGAATACGACTTTTCTATTTCAAATTTAGGCGGGATGTTTAGTTTTTGGAGGAAATAGCCATTCCGGTGGCAATTTTTAAAAGTTACCGGGTTCATTTTATTTGCGTACTATTGTGTGTGAAGTTAGCGTATGGGTTAAGTATGTACACTACAAATGTCTTAAAAATTTTACAAAGCTGGTCTATTATTCTTAATCACTAAAGTATCCCGTAAAATATAGGCCCTTCAAGTATTTTAAATGTTTCTGAAGGATTGCAAAGATGATAAAGGTTCTTAAACACAAAATGCTCTTAAAGGTCCACAAAAGCTTTTGCAGGTTTAGTTTTTAAAAAAGGGAAAGACTTTTAAACCCTTAAAGGCTTTTAAACATTTTTAGAGACCTTTAAAACTAATAACAGCTCAAACCTTTAATAAATACCCTTAATATCGTATGAAATGCTTTTCAGATAATTTTTAAGACTAAAAATAAGGATAACATGTCTTCCTTCTTAAAGACCTCTTGAACTATAATAATAGCTTTTAGTACCCGCAAATATCAAGGAGATTCCAAAAGACGCCCCTTGATCTTTTTTCTAATACTTTAAATATCAAAAGGCTTTAGCGACACTGGAAAACTTCTTAAAGCTTTTGAAGGTTCTTGAGCTAGTCATCTTAAAAGCTTTTATGTTGTTACGGACTTTGGAAATCGTATAAAGCTTTAAAAAGCTGTAAATGCGCGAGCCTTTAATGTCCTTTAGAAAGCTCTAGAGTCTAGTGTTCCCTAAATATTTTAAAGGGCTCTGGAAACCCACACGTGAACATACAGAAGGGAAATATTTCGAAATCTGCAGTAGCAGTTTATAACGGACTCACTGACAGGAAAAATCAGCACCATGTTACATCTAAAATCGTTTGACAATGGGACGAAAAATGCTATAGCACAATTATGCGCTTTTAAAGTATAAGGCCCACCTCATCCGAAAAGTATGATTCAAAGACACTTTTACGTTAATTTCAATATTTCGAAAAGAGGTGTTATAGAACAAGATTACCCGTCCACTCTGTATACTACATTACATGGCAACGTGGCTAAAATTTTATCAGAAGGTGAAACGTCAAACTTTTTTAAGGTTATGTTTTCTGTTTGGATAATTTTTGGTTTTCATGGATTCCTTAAAAACTGCCTTACAACAATTACAAACAAACACCAAGGAGATATACGAAGAAGCAATACGGATATTAATAAAAATAGCTGATAACGTGATAAAAGCCCCCACAAATTCAAAGGTACGATTGCTTCAAAAATCAAACTTGACGCTCTCAACGAAGATTTTGAACGTGTCTGGTGGTTTGGAATGTTTAAAACTCATGGGATTCTTGGAGGTACGACTTATTCTGAACGAACATATCGGGTTAATGCGGTGTTTTAGGATGGGAGTGTCTGGGTTCTTCCGCCCAGCGTTTCGGTTGTGAGTTTGCAGATGTTTCGCAATGCCCTGTCTCAGGAGTTGAATACAAATGTTTTTGCGCAATTGATACAAGATGAGCCGAGTGGTAGCTCATCCGACAGTTCGATTGAACCCGAGCCTTCGAAAGGGGCCATTCCTAAAGTTTCAGTAAGTTTATTTGTAAAAAGTACGTTTAAAGAGCAGTTGCGTTTGCGATGTTGCAATTCGCCTCCTCTGTTCCTTCTTGGAACTGCAACATGATAAGTAGATATACTGTTCCCGATCCTATTATCTGAAATGATTAATAATCTCATTTTGGATTTTATTTTTATTTTACAAACCGTGAATAGCAGTTGTGAATCGATCGTAAATAATCCGCAGGCTGTAAATTGGACGGGACAGTGAAAAATTTGTTGAGAGAAAATGGTTAGCTGAAAAAAGACCCTGTGAATTTAAATGTATCATTTGTTTTACGTACTTTATCCTTGATGTCGTTATTACGAGAGTTCATTAGTAACTTGTGGACTTCTACGCCAGTTTGACGAGCCTACAATGTAACAAGTATTCTCAGATCGTTTTATTAAATCACATGAGCTATATACCTGTGTTGCCGCAATTTGACACGTGATCGCGAGCAAAAGTATTTCGTTCCAATCAATTACCGACCATAAACCCCAGCTTACTGCTCTCATATGCGCACCCAAGACCTGCAAATGAGTCGTTAGAGTGTGTTTAATTGGTCGAAGATACTTGCGAAGTACTCGTAATATGCAAAAAATATTGCGAACACTGTCTTTATAAACAGCAGTGTGAAGCATATTAAGATTTGAAAGGTGTAATTTCTGTTGATGTCGTTGGCCAGATCCACCAAAGAATCATATACCTCCATGAGGGTTGCAATTTTCTTTGAATTCTTGGACTCCACCTCTGTAAATTTAGGAGTAATATTAGAAACAATGTGAAGTTGCTGCTGAGTGTGGTAACCCTACTGTGACCCCTCATTTGTTACGATTATAACGTAGTCTTTGTAATTATAAATTGTTTTTTTTTATTATTAGGCTTGTATAATTTTTAGAATTTATGATTTTATTGATTTTGAAGTTGTGCAAGTTGCATAACATACAGGTACTTTCTGCTGTTTATGATTGTATTCGATTCTATTCGCATTGTATAATTTTGAAAAAGGGAAAATGTTACAAGTAAGGTAGGTAGTAGAAGAGCTAAGTGTAATGTGAAAGGTCCACTCACTTTAAAAGATGAAATCTCAATATTGGTGGGACCGATGTTAATGAACTTTGTGGGACCTACTTATCAACTGATATCTTCAATTTGACATGTCCATAAATAGATCATTTTTCAATAAAACTAGGTAGCACAATTCGTTCCGAGGCTATTGTAGAAAAAGCATTAGAATTATCCTGTTTCATTTTGGCATTTTGGCACAGCACGAAACAAGTTAATTCTGCTTAAGGTGACGGAAATTGGTGGGACGAAATTTGTAAATTAACCAATATTCTGCTCCCGATAAAGATACAAAATACAATACGGTTTTAATGTGTGAAGTGCGGCAAACGCATTTTATTCGGTATGATACTACACAATTATAGATGGATATGAGCTACTTACAGTCTAGAACAATGGAGTTAAACATAGATCGTTTTGAAGGTAAAATTTACTTCCAGGCGCGACTTCCCATAGAGAATGTTTACGGAAGTGTAGGCGCAGTTTTTGTAACGTTTTGAGAATGTGGTTTTGTGTGGAATTCTGTGTTTTAGAGGTTCGTCATAGTTCTTGTTTGGATTTGTGATTTGTGCAGGCGTTTTTAATTTTGTTGTACGCTAAGTTAATTTAATTACTTATAGATAAAGTTGAGTTATGGCCTTTTGTTGTTATTCTTTGTTAATTTGTGTAGATATAAAGGTTGTTATTTTTTAATAAAGTAATTTATATTTCCCTAATTTCTTGATTTATTCACGTTACCCTGATTTTTTTCCTAGCCGAAGTCATTTAATTGGTGGAGAGATTGGTGGCCGTAAATCAAGGTAAGTGGTATTTGGAAGAGGTGTTAATAAGGATTGTTTGTGTCGCCTCATAATTCTCAGTGTAGGTAATTTAGTATTTGTAGTGTTGCCTTGCTAATCCGAGGTTTGTTATCATCCATGTTAGAACAGGCTGTATCGACAGCGCGGAGGGCCATTTTTGGCCCTAAAGCAGGACTTGATAAAATTGTGCTTTTGTACGATAATATGGTAGAAAGTTTTGTGTATTTTAATAATATTTTGGACCATACAGGGTGCGGATTATAAACTGGGGGTCTAGAAAAATGGAAATTAAAATCAATCAAAAGTTATAGACTAGAAATTAATGTCGAAAGAAAATTCAAAGGGCTGTAACTTTTGATCCAGTAGCCCAATCTTGGAACTGTTTGAAATTATGGATTCTACAGGCCACATTCTATAAGAAAATGTTTTTTCCCGGTCGATCTGAGACAATTTTTTTTTCGAGGCAAAAAAAAGGCAGTGTATAACCTTCCTTTTTTGCCAAAAATCGACTGCACCAAAATTTCTCGGGAAAACACTTTTTCTTATTAAATTTGGTGCGTAGAATCCAAAACAATTCGTACTTTTTCGATTAGACTTCTCAATCAAAAGTTATAGACTAGAAACCAATTTCGAAAGAAAATTCAAAGGGCTGTAACTTTTGAACTAGTAGCCCAATCTTGGAACTGTTTGAAATTATGGATTCTACAGGCCACATTCTATAAGAAAATTTTTTTTCCGGGTCGATCTGAGACAATTTTTTTTTCGAGGCTCAAAAAAAGGCAGTGTATAACCTTCCTTTTTTACCAAAAATCGACTGCACCAAAATTTCTCGGGAAACACTTTTTCTTATTAATTTTGGTGCGTAGAATCCAAAACAATTCGTACTTTTTCGATTAGACTTCTCAATCAAAAGTTATAGACTAGAAACCAATTTCGAAAGAAAATTCAAAGGGCTGTAACTTTTGATCCAGTAGCTCAATCTTGGAACTGTTTGAAATTATGGATTCTACAGGCCACATTCTATAAGAAAATTTTTTTTCCCGGTCGATCTGAGACAATTTTTTTTTCGAGGCAAAAAAAGGCAGTGTACAACCTTCCTTTTTTACCAAAAATCGACTGCACCAAAATATCTCGGGAAAACACTTTTTCTTATTAATTTTGGTGCGTAGAATCCAGAACAATTCGTTCTTTTTCGATTAGACTTCTCAATCAAAAGTTATAGACTAGAAACCAATTTCGAAAGAAAATTCAAAGGGCTGTAACTTTTGATCCAGTAGCCCAATCTTGGAACTGTATGAAATTATGGATTCTACAGGCCACATCCTATAAGAAAATGTTTTTTCCCGATCGATCTGAGACAATTTTTTTTTCGAGGCAAAAAAAGGCAGTGTACAACCTTCCTTTTTTACCAAAAATCGACTGCACCAAAATTTCTCGGGAAAACATTTTTTCTTATTAATTTTGGTGCGTAGAATCCAAAACAATTCGTACTTTTTCGATCAGACTTCTCAATCAAAAGTTATAGACTAGAAACCAATTTCGAAAGAAAATTCAAAGGGCTGTAACTTTTGATCCAGTAGCTCAATCCTGGAACTGTTTGAAATTATGGATTCTACAGGCCACGTTCTATAAGAAAATGTTTAATTCTTAAATTTCGATTTCAGGTTTCATATTATTTATTTCGAGTTTAGTTGAAGTCCGATGAACATCTTTTTTTTATCGAATACTAGCAGTCCCGGCGCACTTCATACTGTCTTTTCGAAATCCCGTTTTTTCCCGTTTCCGTGGATATTTCGGAAAGTGTTTTTCGAATTAAATTACAACATATTTTTCTTATGACTTTTAATACTTACACAAGAAGTTACAAAACCTATAATTTCTCTGAATTAAAATTAAAAGTGGAAAATATTACAATCCCCATAACAAAATTAGTAACAGGGAATGGATCATGGGATTGAAATCACTCAATAATCTTTTGAAGGTCCTACTGGGCGTAGAAAGCTGAAATTTTGCATCCAGATTCCTTGGAGATTGTGGGGGAGCACTAAAAAGAATTTTCCGAAATTTTTACGGCAACGGAAAAAAAGGATTTTACGTTTTACATTTAAAACTTGGATTTCTGTGAAGGTTTTAAGGTATACTCCGAAAGCGCTTCCCGACATTCCCACGGGATCGAGGAAAAACTGAATTAAGACAGAAGGTCATGTTAATGCGCGTACAAAATCGCTGGAGCAAAAGCTCGTTTTTCATAGTTTTGTTCAACCTGCGATGAGGAGCGGGTGGTTCAAAAAATATGCTCATTCAATGCAGAAATCAATTCCCTAATACTTTTAATAGGGTTGTTTTTTTTCATATTGTCAGATATAATCGTAGAACCGCAACAATACCATTTTTGTAGCCCCCTCCTCCCCCCTTAAGTACAATTCCGCCGGATATAGTCATATTGGGCAACAAATTAAGACATCTTTTGTAGGATTTAAATCCGATTTGGATTTTAGTCCTACTAGCCTACTACGACAACTAACGCTTTATTTTATATCATCCACGTATTTATACAGGGCGTTCCTAAATATGCAAATACGGAAGGGATAATTCTTTGACTGATTTTATGACTAAAAGTTCATATAAACATAGGTCCGCAAACGCTTCGTTACCGATGTACAGGGTGTTATAGTTCTACCGTACATTTTACAATTTCAACCTTTAATTTATAAGCATATGTGAACACAAGGTACAATTTTCAAAGCCAACTGCGAAATCTAATCAAAACAAAATATCTAAATAAAGTCAGGGCCTACTGGATCATTTTAAAACAAGTTGTATATCAGCATATGCATGATGAAAGCGCATTTTTGGTAATACAGATCAGTATTTTATTAGCCACTGTAACTAAACAATGAGTACTTAAACCACTCGCCGTATTTATACAGGAAGATGTCTATTCATTTAAATAAAAAAAATTCCTTTTATCGCTTAGCATCATAACTATAAATTGGAAAAATTAATAAATAAGTCACTGCGGAGGGCAGGGGGAAATACGAGGGGAAATGTGTAACTTACGTACATTCAGAAGAGTTAGGAATAAAAAATTAAGAAAAATACAAACAATATGAAAACGTGGTCACTCGTGACCGACGAAAGCGCATTTTCCCCGCACGAAATTAGTAATGACTCGGGAGGGAATAAGTGACCAATCCAATTTCTCATTCTGGTCTTGGCTGTACACTGTATAAGAAAGAAACCACAACGAAAAAGTTTACACTGGGGGAGTAGTACTGGTACAGACGGCCAAAGTGTGGACAATAGCGTTCATTTTCTTTTTGGAAAATGCGCTAAAAGGCGGGAAAATTTATACAACAAATTAGAATTCCATGGGACGAATGTTACAACTTGGTACTAGACGACTGCTGATTTTTTTTGTTTTTGTAGCGAATATTTTAAAAATCTAGAGCTACATCGGGGCGCCTTCAGGTTGCCATAAAGTCGATAAAGGATTAGCCACCGGCGATAAGGAACGAAGGTGGATTCTTTCAGATTTAAGAATGTTCTTAGTTTTTGTTTACTATATAAGTAAATTGAATCGTGTTTAAGTTGAGTTCCAACATCTACGCCGAAGGGAACATTGACATTCGCGTACTTTACGTATATAACGATAGGTGGTGAGGTGAGAGAGGTGATCAAAACAGCGAAGCGTTTCGTTTGGGAGCTGTATGGTCAAAGGTTTCAAAACATGGGATTCTGCAATATGTTTTCGGAGCAACCATAACATAAAAGAATGCAACTGGCCGTTTTTTAGAGTATGAATGTTGGAAGAAACGTTTACAAAATCATCGAGGAAAAAGTTAATCGTGAATTTTAGAGCTCGCTTGGTTTATTTGAAAAAGGATAGTTTGCAAGTTTCATAGCCACCTTGTTTTTTGTGCTTGTCATTTTTAGAGCTCTCTCAAATTGTAAAATAAAAAATGCAGAGTCGTTTTAACTGTATTTTTACAGCTGGCCAATTGACGTCTTGTGAAATAGAGAAAGAGAATCAAATTTCTTAAATAAAATAAAACCAAAAAAAGTTTTTTTTTAAATTTCTCCGAGTGTGTTCGGATTTTTTTTAACTTTGTCGCCTTTATTTTTGAGTGGGTGAGGTTTCGCCCAAGGGTGCTCTACCAATCCAACCCATACATTTACACATATCCATGCTCGAACCCGGATTCTAACCAGGGACCCTTAGCACCACAGTCCAGTTTCAACTGAACTGCGCCACACGGGCCGAAAGTGCTGGATTTGGTACAACAAGTTTGTCTTCATTTTATCAACGTTATATCTTTTAGGGTTTCCGAGATCCCAATGGTCACCGTCGAATTTGGGACATCTTATATAGACTGTTTTCAGGGACGCAGCTCTCCGAGACCGTAGAAGATACGACGGTGGTCAAATTAGGGAAAAGTTGTGCAATTAAACAATTATTATCATGCTTTAAAGAAAGTAAGAAAATTCCGATTACTTCCGAAAAAAAACCGAAATTTGCCGATTTCGTTTTTAATTTTTTTTCTGATGTTATTTGAACAGAAGCAACAAAATAAAAACACTTTCTCATTGCCACTTTGCCATAACATACCGTACCTACTATATTGGGTAGCAGATTTTATTACGAATACAACGATATAGGGCACATATGTACACAAAAAAACAAAAGTTGGAAACTGTTGGTTTCAACAGGATGGTGCACCCGCGGACAATGCCCTAATCGTACGAGAACACATATCGGACAATTTTTCTATTTTTCATGTAATTTACCTACCCGATAGGTATTCTCACCCGATTAGTTTGTGCGCCGGTGCACCATCCAGTTGAAACCAAAAGAGTTGCCAATTTTTGTTTTTTGTTGTGCCGTATATTGTTGTACTCGTAATAAAAATACCTTCGCTGTAGACGGCCGGATGTTTTTTTAACGGAACAGTGTATTCTTTGATGCCACTGTGTGTGGTATATTAATTTTTAAGTAAAAATGCCATTTGTAGTGGGTGTCCTAAAAAACTGAAATATTTTTTAATTTCATGTTAATTTCGCATTGGAGTATCAAATTGAGAGGGCCATTAGTTATACAAAATACACTTGATATTTGTCCTTCCATCTGCCTGGCAATGGATCTTCTCAAAAAATTAAGAAATTTTTGGGTCCTTTTCCATTAAATTTGTGTATAGGATGTGAGAATGAAATCCAACTTTGAACGTGTATTACTTACCCTGTGCACCGAACATTTTTTGCAAAATCTCGTTCAGTATCTTAAAACGCTGGTAAATTAAAAATACCAAAAACGAGAACTGGCATTCCATTATAAAAATGATAATAATCGGGAAGTAATAAATAAATAGCATCGCTTGACTTCCGCGCATCGAAATGGAAATGTTGAAGGTAATTGCTACCAGTCCAATAACAAACAGCGACACTTGCTGCCAGAAAATCTTGCGATAGTTGATTTTGTGCCCCAGCTCCTCAAAGATGGAGTCCACCGTGCAGATCCTTTCGATGATATTTTGTATGCGTGGTGGAAGTACGAAGCTGAGAATATAAATGGCGTAGATCAATATAATTTGTCCTAAAATATCGAGTGCGCGTCCGATGCTGGATATTGCATTACCCATGTATACGTTATCTCGTAATGAATCGCCTCTATTGTATTCGTAAATTAAGCTGCAGGAATATATAAACACGTAGGCCATGGTGATGAACTTGAACATTAACGAGGATTTCAGAACGTATTTCCCATTAATATTTTGGGCGTAAATTGGGTTGGTGCCGGAAAGTAACGATAGGAAAAACGTTGGGTTTAAAGCGCTGTAAAGTTGATTGGAGTACATTTTGGGTTTCACTTAAAAGCGCGCACAACACTTTGATTGGGTTAGTAATGCCCAGAAACGACGAGTGATTTAAACTGAAATGGTAATAAATGGTTGCATTTGATTAAACAATCTCGATATCTATCAATTAATCAACCACGAACACGCCACTTTTTGGTGATTCCTGTCTTTCACGGCATTTTGTTCTCGTGATTATTCAAGCCATAATAACTATATCGCTGATGATAAATTTTATGTGTTCACTTGGTGATCAGCTTATTTTCTATTAATAATTGAAGTTGATACTTATCACGAAATATCGATATTGTGTGTGCAATACATTTTTATTTATATAAACATCGTTTCGCATGCTTGGGTAGGTTATCGTGGAATTCCAATGAAATATTGTTATGACAACAAATGGGCCAAATTTATATTAACATAGGTTAGGGGTATCGCTTCGACAACTGATTTGGTAATTAAAAACGAGATACCAAGAATCGGATACGATTTTTTGACACTCGGCTCACATTCGGAAACGCGACTTTTAATCCGGCTCATATTCAATCGCACTCATCCTTCAATTTGTAAAAATCTATTGGTGAAGGTTTGACATTGCCGTCTTTTTTCGTTCTCGTGTTAGACGAGGAACAGACGGACGGATGAACAAAACCATCACATAAGGGGCCAAAAATTCCCCTGAAAACAAGCTCAAAAAGGTACCCCAGGGTAGAATTGTATGATGGAACGGATGACGGTTAGATGTCCCGTCTGAAAAGTGCAGAAACGAAAAATGAAGAAGAAACAGAAACAGAAATCGATCACTATACATATGGGTAGAAAGAATGTTGTGGCTACATTCTCAAAAGAAAAGAAGAGTGACGTCAAATATTTCTACAAGCAATGATGCATCATTTTTCAGATGAAATAACCCCCCCCCCCCTCCTTCAATGTGTACAAAAATTCCAGGGTGTCCGAAATTTAAAGACCCGATTTTCCAATAAATTATTTGACTAGTGGAATTGTAAGAACAAATCTGTAAGTATTTGGTGGAATGGAAGGTTGTCCTTTTTGCATCTTTTGATTTCTATAGAGCATTGTTTTTTTAGTAGCGTTCAGAAACCTCGGCGACCAGATGATTTGGATCATATTCCGTTATCCGTTAATTAGGTATGTTTGATTACAATTGCAAATTTGGCACGAGATCATTCTCTGGATCGAGAAGACGAGTCGGCGGAAGTTCAGTGCGGAGGAACAAACTCTTTCTCCTGTGCTTTCGTGGGATGGCAATTCCAATTGGCGGACTATTGTACCCGAAATCGTGTTGAAAGGGGAGGTAGAGGGAGGGAGTTAGTAGGAAAAAAATCTTGAGACAGACGGTTGGGAACCACGTACGTTGTCACTGTATAGTTCAAATTAATAGTTTTTCGGGTTTACGTTTCGAATAAAGAAGAAGATCGCAACAATCGTCTCATAGTTAATCCAGAAAAAGTCCCAGAAAATTTTCCGGTCGGGAAATACCAAGGAATATCCACGTAGTTTGGTGGCTAAATAAAATGGTTCGTCAAAGGCGAAAAAAAACTTCTAAGGTCTTCTAAAATTCGAGTGTACCACTATTAATTTATACACGCTAGATTAAACTTGATAAAATCAATATATAGGGTGTTTATAAAACATGCGGCATAAATTAAAGAAGCAATTCATTGGTCTATTCTAAGCATTTTAGCGCATTTTCACAAATATTAAAAAAAAGGGCGTTATTGTGGCCACTTTGTCCGCCCGTCTGTCTGTCCGTCCGTCTGTCCGTGTTTTTAGCGCGCATTTTTTAAGAATTAAAAAAAAGTGGTCTTGTTTGCGTTTTATCCGTCCGTCCGGACCCACTTCTGCCGTTTCGAACTACATCTAGGGGAATGGTCCTAGAGTCTTGGAATGTATCTTTAACATATACCTTGAAGGCGTGCCAGACGGCCATCAAATTTCGCTGTCTAAAATCCCCCCCCCCCCCCCGAATTATTTCCTGAGATGCTGTTTTTTAAAGTAAAACGTGCATAACTTTTACATACGACAATCAATTGGTCTCAGATTTGGCAAACGCATGTCTTTAGTGGTGCCAAGTTAAACTTTAGGAAATGGGGGAGGGGGGGGGAGACGGGACACATGTTCTACCCTTCATGGTATTCTAATGAAAGGTCTCATCGAAATACATTGGTTTGTACAAACTATAACTTTCCCGTGCGACTCTTTTTCGAGATCAGTGAATGACGGGGCCTAATTAAAGGTCTCAACGAAAGGAATCGTTTTCTACCAACTACTGCGCTTTTTTCTGTCCTCTTATCAAAGTATGGGTAGGATGAGAACGGGGGGGGGGGGGGAGTGGAACTAGTTTTATTCTTCATGGTACTCTAATGAAAGGTCTCATCGAAGGAAGGAATTAATTTTTACCAACCATAGCCCCCCTCGAGATCGTTTATAATGTTGTATTGCTGTGTGCCCGTCTGCCTGTCCGTTTCTCTCTCCGCCTGTCTGTCTGTCCGTGTGCAGTTGTGCGTTGTACACGGTAACTTTTGTATTGAACCATATTCTTCTAACATTTTAGGGTAGGATTTTTCTTATAAACTGAAATTGAAGTAGCTGGTCAAAAATAGATTGCGCATATGCAACTTATTTGCAGTCGGATTTTTACGAAATTTTAATAGAAGCTGCACCTTACAAATGGGAAATGATGCAAGTGGAAATGCGCTTTTTGTAAATTGTTTACGATTACTTTTTTAACTTGTTTATCCTTTGATGAATTTTGAAAAAGTGTTTTGTTGCGAAAATACAGGGCGACACGTTTCCACTATAATAACAATTTATGACTAAAAATTACATGTATCATTTCTTAATCTGCTAGAATTGTTGAAAATGGCTACCTCCAGCTCGGATGCAACCCTCCAATCTTCTCCTCATCGTCTCCCGGATACTTTCAAAAACAAAAGCGCTTTCAAAAGTCATCAAAATATTTTTAATAATAACCTCTTTAATTTTTGCCGCATGTTTTACAAACACCCTGTATAGAAGGGAATGAAGTAACTGTCTAAATTAACAGGGAAAGTGAACGATTGGACAGAATTTCTAAAACTCGAAAAAATCATCTTTTGAGCACTACGGTTCACTCTCCCGTAGCCCAAATCCGAATGAATCAAAATTTCCCCGGAATAATCTCTACCTATTTCTTTTTAAGTAATTACCACCTACAAAATGGCTTCTTATTAATGAAAACTGCCATCTTTAATCATTGATTCGTTAGCGTTGTTCTTGCCCCACGAAGTAACTGAGAGCTAAGGTAATAAATCAATTTCTCACGTATGGTTAAATTTGCAATGTTGCCTTTCCTACAACACAGAGCGGACCTAATTCCTATTCTGCGGTTTGGAGCAGATAAACTCAATTAAAATAAAGATGTATCTCGTTATCCCGACATCTTGTCTCACACATTTCCTAAAGCTATTAAAAGTTCAACACACTGTAGAATTCTAATGCAGAAAAACGATCGCAAAACTTTAATTGAACGTCCTTACAAATCTAAACTTACTCAAATTTTGAAATTATCAAGCATATACCTGGATCACCCTGTAGGCAACAATTCGCACCCCTAAAAATCTCCAAAATTCAAGGATGTCTTTTATGGAGATCTCCGAAACTATAGAAGATACGACGATGCTCAAAGTAGAGAAAAGATGCGTAATTAAAAGAGTTATTATCATGCTTTAAAGAAAACCGAAGATAGGTCACAAAACCGAAATTTGCCAAATTTTTGTGTGATGTTATTTGATAAGATATAGAAAAATGGTAACCTCTTCTTGAGCTTTACAAGATAGCATTGAGCGAGTTTCAATACAACGTTTCGTTACGGAGAAATAATAAACTTTTTTTATATTGTCCGTAAAAAAATACATACTGTATGGAGTAGCATTTTTTTTATTACTAATATAACGATGTACGGCACACCAGGAAAAAAAGTTAGACGCCGATCTATCAGACACATTTTCTAATATTCTCACACGATTAGGGCGTTGTGCGCGGGTGCACCAACCTGTTGAAACAGTTTCAACAATTTCTCAGACTCCAAGGCCACATCTTTCTTCCTGAAGTGATTAACAAACAGACTATTGACAACACTAGGTAAAAAATTAATGTACGGTTTTTGAACTGCAATCATACCAAGACCAATATTTGTCTGGGGAAAAATAATGTCAACTAGCTAAATTTCTGGCAACCTGACGCCAATTTGTCTTTGTCTTTGTTCTTTAATTACTTCAGGAAGGCGGATGTGGCCTTCTTTGACTTTCACCATCTGGGATTGGTAGTAAGAAGAGGCATTGACCAATAAATGATTAAAAATGGCCGTCGGGATTAACAATCCTCCATTTTATAGGAGCAAAGTTATATTCTTACAACTGCTCATGTTGCACCAGATGTCTTGTGTTGACAACAGTTGATTATATTAGGGGTTGCCATTTAATTATCGTTGAAATAATGAAAAATGATTACTAATTTTTTTATTTCTTTCCAGGAAAGTGCTAAAAGTGCGAATGATACCATCAGTGATCGAAAACTTCTACATGATGTTCCTTTAGTTGTATTACCACCTATGAAATACGTAAGTTTTGTTGTATTTTAGTGCTTAGTGTCGTTGGTGGTCATGATTTTACAAGTCATCGGCAATGACGCTTGCTGAAACTGGAGCATAATAATTATATAAGTTGCTGCGGCACTGATCATCTGAAATTTTCGCATTTATTCGTGTTGAAGATGCTATTTTTAACACGATACCGTGAATAGCAACGAAGCGTTGTACGGAAACATTCCCCAAATTGTAAATTTCACTTGGCGGTGCATTAGAAGTCTCGAAAAATTCATTAACTGAAACAAATTGTTATCAGTTTATATTGTTGATAGTGTTTTAAGAGCTGTACTCCTTTTACCCTAAAGTGAAGTCGTATACCTACTGGTTGCAGACGAAGTGCATACCTGATTTTGTATTTCCTTATGATATGGCTTCAAGAGCAATTTGTGCACAATTCTGCCTGTATTACTTGCTTGGTTTGCAGCCAAATGGCATGAGACGGTGGTGTGAAGCGCATCGACAATATGGATGAGAGCCCACATGGTCCAACATAGTACCGAGACTGGTTTTGTCGTAAACTAAAACGTTGGCGTTTATAATTTGCTAGCATGAATTAAATTACCATCCAGTAGCAATAAAATATGCTAAACATAAGAAAACTATATTGGAATACTAAAGCAATCGCTATAGGCAGCGTGTAATTGGCCGAAAGCTCTTGTGTGACGTCACACAGTTCATCGTACATGCGCATTAAGGTATCAATTTTTCTCAAGTGCAATTCCGAGTTATTTTCCTTAAAGTGAAACACTCGATTGCTTTCTTGGTCGACTAAATCAAGTTTTATAAGTTGTTCGTTCAGCATCAGGAAACGGCGATGCACAAACAGTACAATGTAGGAAAATTGGTTTTCGAAAATATTGACGACAGCTATCGGATATACGAATAACAACCATATCAAGGGCGACAGTGGTAAAAAACCTTCCCTTTTAATATTCTCACTTTGCACAATAGCATTTAGAGTCATGACAACAATCGGTGGCAATTGGGTTGTCAGTTGGTACAAAACCATTCGTTTGTATTTCAGATCTTGGCCAAATCTCGCCAGTGTCAAGTCCACCTTGTAAAGCTTCATAATTGTGTTCTTCATCGCGTTCGCTTTGAATAAGCAAGCGAGGTGGGTCGAATAAAAGTACGTAACGCAACCAAAGAACTCGAAGGCGATTCCGATATTCGACACCTTATTCGAGTTGTAGTAACTATTCGACAATATGCTCTTTCTAGTCTCATTTGCCGTACGCACCAATACGGCACTGTAGAACAGTACGAAGCCGATACTAACGCAGTAGAGGTATTTATGAGTAAACAGAGCATTGCCTCTGTAATTTATGAATACTGGACATATGCCTAAAATGCACGTTAGGCACACCGTCGGCGATATTGCGCTAAAAAAGTGTTTTGCACCCGCCATCTTTCAAGCGTTTAGGCAAGTGTGCCTTGCTCTAGCCCGAAAGTACATGTAAATTGAATCTTTAATAAACCATTGAGGCCATGTATATTTTATGAGCACCTGGCTGTTGGAATTAGTTATTTAATCGTTTCAAATAATCGTGCGAACGAAACACGCATGGTATTGTCTTTATTATTAACGTTTACACAGAGCACGCAGAGGTGGATCTTAGTTTCCTAAGTTTCCATCGCTGCTTTCATTCAATTTTGTCCATTGCCTCTCTTTGGCGAGTAGAAAGTATACAGGGTGTCAAAAATAGATCTATTAAATTAGGGCAATTTAGAAGGTAGGTATTATCTCTACACGACGGGCGGTTCTGTATGACAAAGGTCATCAATTCCAAGGAATATTATTTAAGAGGTACTGTAAATTTTCCTTTTATTTCGTATAAAATCAATAATTGGTTCCTTTTAACAATAAGTAACTTTTTAATTGATATTAATAAGAGTCCTAAAAAGGTGAATTTTATAGAAAAAATAAGAGAGAAAGGATGCCGTTTAGTCTACGGCGGCTGTCTCGCTGTACTGCTGTTTGAACTTAGACTGGTTGTTTTTGGTTAAGTGTTGTAATAAAATAGGAGTGTTTTAGTGTGTTTCTTTTTGATATGTGAATTAAAAATTAAAAGGCGAGTTTTACTTTTTTTAAACTATAAATATTTTCAACGTGAATTTTTCTTGTTTTTGTTGTGTATGAATATGGACCGTATGGACGAGAGCGAGAACCCAACGAACCCAGTTCGAGTTCTTAAAGTTATTTTTTGAAACTGGGAATAAGAATATAAGACTGATCTATCAGTACCTGTCTGTTTCCAAGTAAACTACATTATATTTTGTTATTAAATACTATATAAAAATTATCTCGATTTTGTCTCATTTTGTGTCTCAAATTCTTAGGGATTTTGTATGGGTTTTTGTATAGGTCGTTGGGTGGGTTTTTGTGTCAAAGTGTGGGTTTTGTAAATAGGTTTTTCGTTTTGCCAACCCAGTCCCTAAGTCATCACTTTTGCAACTAAACTGACTACAAGAAATTACAATGTCTTTTTAGTCCGGATTATTTGGAAGTGTCGTCGACATCCAGAGATTTCTGCGTAGTGGAAAATTGCCCTAGGGTAAGGTCAGTGATTTTTGGTATGTGCAGTTTTTTTTACGTAAAATGAAAATACCTTAACACAGGTTGACAATTAGATTCTCAGTTCGTTCCAGATTCAATAGTTTTAACCCCCCCCCCCCCCTCACTTCAGTAATGATAGTAATGAAAGATATTAATAGACGTAAGCCATATTGAAAAATTTAAATGGCCTATTTTTGCGCATTGTTACTCTTCATCTCACCACCGTGTTTCCTTAGTATGTCCCTTCCAACATTCACCCCTTGACTCTTTCATTTACTTTCTCTTTTCCGTTTCGCGAATGTTCAGGAACCTATCAGCCCCTGTCTAATTTGCAACGCCGCTTCAACGTTTTTATTTCTCTTTATAGCTATTTACTAATCCCTTTCTAAACGAAGTGGAATTGGCATTCCATACTGCATTATCCTACGCAGACAAAGACTTACAAAACCGGGCATTAGCCGTTATACCCAAGCTAAAATTAGAAAACAATGCCCAAAATCGTCTACGTAAACTCCAGGAGACAGCCAAAGAAGGTAACGAACTGTAACCGTGCGCTATGATAATGGACATTTTCCAACAGCTAAAGTTAGCGACTTCGACTACACCCTTGACGATTTCCTCTTGCCGGAGGTGCTGGATTGGTTTAAAAACGAGTTTTTCAAATGGGTGGATAGCCCCGATTGTCAGTACTGCAATGGTAATACATTTTTCGCGCACATGAGCGACGATCCTAGCTTATTGATTCATACGAATAGAGTTGAGGTGAGAACTTTGGGGGTGGAGTGAAGGCACAGTGTAAATTTTAGATGCACAAGTGCCATAGCTGCCACCGGCTGACACCGTTCCCCAGGTACAACGATGTCAACATTTTATTATTGACCAGATGTGGACGTTGCGGCGAATGGGCCAATACGTTTACCCTAATTTGCTGCGCGATGGGATGGGACGCGAGATTAATAGTCGATCAAACCGATCACGTATGGACCGAGGTAAATCACCCTCCACGTATCTTCCCTGGTAAATAATCTCTTGGGTAGGTATTTATGCATTCGCAGAAGCGATGGTTACATTGCGATCCTTGCGAAAACGTGTGCGATACGCCGTTGATGTACGAGAACGGTTGGGGTAAGCAAGTGTCATACGTCATCGCGTATTCCTCGGAGGAAGTACAAGATGTCACCTGGCGCTATTCCTCGAACCACAAGACGGTGCTGCGACGACGCACTAAATGCACGGAGAAAGAGTTAGTCGACGCACTAATCAAACTGAGAAACGAGCGCCAAAGAAGCTCGAGCAAAGCGCGAGTGGACTACCTCACCAAACGAGTTTTGCTGGAATTAGTCGAGCTGATGTGCGAAAAGTAAGCACATCCACCACCACTACATTCCCTAACCAATTTTATTTAGAAAGGCTAGTGATAAAGAGAAACAAGGCCGCACTTCCGGCTCAGAACTTTGGCGACTGATGCGCGGAGAAATCCAACCGAAAATTGACTCCTACGTGTTCGTGTTCAAGGGGAATGAGACTGAGACCGTGCGATATTCTGCAGCTTTAGACAAATACGAATGTGCGAAAAAGGATGGTTCGGTCAGTTCCGTCAATGGTTGGCACGCCGGTGCCTTCAATATGACCGGCATTTTTCGAAAGGAGGAGAAGGACTGGAAGATGGTTTATTTGGCTCGAGCTGGTTAGTGGATATGCGTCAAATTTAGTGTTTTGATGTTCGTTTTACAGAGGGCACTGATTTTGGTGTGATTAGCTGGAAATTTGAAGTTGAAGATGCCACCCAAGTTATTGACGTTGTCGACGTGAAGTTGGAACATAAGCTCTATGAAAATGGAAAAGTTGAAGTTACAATAGAGAGTAATGCAACCACCATTAAGATGCCAGAAAGTAAGGCGGCTATTTTGATCTTTTTTGTTAAAGCTGTTTCGTTTCAGATACAGTGGAATTTCGCACAACTGCGGTTAGCGGATCAAGATTTATTGTCATAACAGCCCGATTATCTGGAGGTAAAGGTGATGTTGCTTGGCAGCATGCGCAACTATTTCGTCAAACCTCGTCAAGTAGCGACTTTGCGTTCATCGTTAAATGTTCTTTTAAACCAGTGCATTAAGTGTTAATTTCAAATTATTATGTAGGTATCTAAAATACGGTTCTGTTATTACATTTCAACTATTTTATTACGAAAGTATCTTAAAACGTAGTTAGTTTTATTGGTAAAGTTTTCACTTCTTAGTTTTTCTTATTCTTGCGCTAGAGGTCACCCAAATGTACTTTGCTGTATTTTTCCTTTTGATCTTCCTTAATTCTTTCACGTACGGTGGGAAAGTGAATAAAACAGAAGGAAGGAGAAGGTTTTCATTCGCTGTGGACCTCTAATGGACGTTTGCATCGACAAATTTAAGCGGAGCTTAACTTAAGCATAGCTTAAAATCCATGGTAACCATTTGCAACAAAGCTTGTTATGGATTTTAAGCTACGCTTAAGTTAAGCTCAACTCAATTTTTTTTTAATGAAAATTAAGGAAAGAAAAGAAGGATTGGGGAGGAACAACGAGATGAGTTACATAGGGGAACCAAGGCAAGACGACGACAGGAGCCATATTCTTGGACTGGACCCAAAACAAGATTGTAGCACATTACCCAACTTTTTCACTGGTCACTGGTCTACAAAGGAGCATCGGTTTGGGATCATAGGGACCAATTTTTAACATGAAAATTTTTAAAACTAGGTGGGTCGGACTGGGCTGACGGGATACCGGGGAAATTTGATAGTATTTATTGATTTAAAGGTATAATTCAGGTAACGTATCGATTTTGATCTTGCTGGGATAATTAAATTTGGCGCTTTATCTGAGCACAACGTTGTGTAGGCATTACAGCTAAGGTCATTCTTTAAGAAAATACGACCCATTTCAAATTTTAATAAAGATTATTGACTTATTATTTAGCCTTGGCCCCGTATCCTTGAGGCCAGAAAAGGATTATTAACGAGCAACCGAGGCACATTAATAATCAATCAATAAAAATCAACATTATTGGTGTAACCAACGCAGAGGTACCATTTTCACACCTATACATCGTGAAACATCACAGACTCTGCCCTTTAAAGACTTTTATTAATTAAAGACCTGGTAAAACTCGAAGCATATATGAGTCTGGAGGATCCTAAATGCTCTTTGAGGCTTAGGTGACTAGTAAGCGCTCTTAAAAATCCCTTAAGGACACGCACAAGTCTATTAAGAGTGTTAAGGGATTTTCAAAGACTCTTAAAGACTGAATATATTAGGGTCTAAATCCCTAAAACTCAAAAATTAAGGAATGCTCGATCCTTAAAATTTTTTAATGTTTTTGAAGGCTTCTAAGGACCTAAAAGGTTCAACACTTAACAAAGAAAAAAAAGAAAGCACTAACGACCGGACAAGTAGGTACTATAATTTGCAAATTTTTTAAAATGTGTGACTTAATTTGAGAAGATTTTCGAAAACAAATGCCACTTAAAATTTTCTCTCCTAGAAGCTGGTATGATTAAATTTTAGAGGGCCGGATTAATGTCTCGAGAGGCTCTCTAAGCAATGAGAATTTTCGGGGCCCCCTTTTTTTTTCTTTACGTTGCATCGTCTAATTATAAATTGATACATGCAGTCAGAAAATTGATAAAGATACATACATACAGACTTGATTTAGTAACGGATAAATTCAATAAAAATCAAATAGAAGCGTGTACGGAAATTCGCTCCGATCCGTGGATTTTGTTTTGAATTTCGCATATTTTGACACAACATGTATGTATGTATGCCCCAAAAAAGCCAGGCATAAAACTTTACTTTATTCTTAAATACAAATACCCGTATATTATTGTATTTTTGGATTCCCCAGCAAAATTTAGGTTGCTTGTAACCTATCTTCAACTGTTCACAGAATAATTACCTTCAAGTATTAAAATAGCACTTTATTAACGATTCATGATTTTGGATTTTCTGTCCGTCCGTCCGTTTGTGTACATGATAACTTGCGAACGGTTTCGAATTTTCCCATTCTGTTTTCAGTAATAGCATAGTGTACTATTCTTACACTATGGTAATAGGTAGACAATGGTCAAGGGACTAACTGATTAAATTTTGGTCATTTGGACTTTCTGCCCGTCCGTCTGTGTACATGATAACTCGCGGACGGTTTAATTTGCCAAATCTGTTTTCAGTATTAAGTTTATCATAACCTAAGGAAGAATTGATTAAATTTTCAGTAACCCAGTCGCGAGTTATCATTGTTCACAAGTGGACGGACATGTACACAGACGGAAGGACGGACGGATGGACAGGAAGTCCAAAATCATGAACTCGCTTTTAGGAGCTCGTTAATAAGCCGCGGACGTTTGATATTCTTAAATAGCGCATTCGTGATGACATTGTGTGTACCGATTGTTACTTGAGCAATGCTGGACAGGAAGTGGGAATCGGCCTTAAAGCTGAGCGGGGAGCACGTTAGATCGAATGGTCACAACATCGCCTTTTTGGTTTCTAAGTCTCTTTGGGTGACGACTTAATTGCTTCATTGGCCCCGAGACTGTTTATAAAAAGTTTAATTTTCGTCGTAAGTGCGAGGCCCGTATTTCGGAAAATTCATATAATGTTACGGTTGGATGCCAGCCCATGATGAGTATTTATTTCATAGGGCGAGCATTCCACTGCGCCTGCATCATTTCACATGGAACACAATAAGAGTAATGTTTGCCAAAGTGTATATCTTGTATTATAAATTATTTCAAAATTATTAATTCATTTAATCAAGCTTGTTAGAACCTACAATATTTAATATTTGTTTAATAAATTGTTTATTTAAGATACAAAAAATTAAAATTAAAGAAGTTTCTTTTTTTCCTCATTTGCTCAATATTTTTTGGTTGGTGCCCCAATTTGACTGGTGCCCTAAGCACGTGCTTAAGTCTGCTTATGCGTTAATCCGGCCCTGTTTAAGTGTGACGTTTCGGTTAAAAAAACACATGAACAATACTTGACCATTTACTGAGCGAATGTGTTCCTTGTTTTCAAAATTCATCAAAATTTCCAACTTTGCCTCTATTTAATCGACTTATCTCTTACGGTTTCAGAGATCTTAATGGTCACCCTCGAATTTGCGACACCTTGTACAATACATTATTAAGTACTTTTCAGATACTCTCTAAATGTAACTATTTTCACTCACTGGAATACTGTCACTTTTCTTTACTTGTAGAATAATGTACTATTCAATGACAGAGGCAGACCAGACTACATTTCCTGCCGCCTGTCACTTTACCGGCCGCACCTGTCAGTTTTCCGGCCCCACCTGTCACAATGTTCGTAATGACTCCTGTCATCACTGATAGAATGACATTAATCAAAGGTTCTATATATGAAACTGGAAATCTTATATTAAAATTCGATTTCGGGTAAAATTAATACAAAACTCTTCAGTAAAACGAAACTACGTGACTCGGAAATTAAAGTACTCGGCCCCAAAGGGGCCTCGTACTTCAATATTTTCTGGTCAGTAATATCTGATTTAATTCGGAACAAAGATCACAAAACCTTCCCCATACATTTCATTTATACATATTATTTAAAAATTATATATACAGGGTGTAAAGCGATGGGGTATACAAGAGGGAATTTTTTTAAAAATATTGATTTATGAAAAAAATTTATTCTTCATGATATTTTTTGCTTGCTTTGAAAGTACCAATACCGTTTCGATAATCTAAAATTTATTTATAGAAATCTGGAAAAATAATAAAATTAATTTTTTTAATTGAAAGTTATTACATCATATCACATTATAATCAAGATAGCGTATTGCTATCAAACCACAAACAATCGAAACGTTATTGGTACTTTAAAAGCAAGTAAAAAATATGAAGAATGCGTAACGCATAAAATTCCATGGCATCACAGATTATTGAAAAAGATGGGGGTTTTATTTTTCCAATTTTCCGTCTTTATTATGCAAAAAATTGAAAACTAATACGGTTGATTGGCGTAAAAAAAGTGTTTTAAAAAAAAACCTTAATACATTTTTGGTCTACAATAATTTGGGGAGCCAATAATCGCATGTTATGAATTTTACATTGAAATCCCTATGATGCGTTATGCAAGTCACCACCCTGTATAAGTAAATGAAATTTTGATTATCATTTACCCCATTTCGAGCTTCCCTGACAATGTCTCATTTTCCTAACTTTTATGTAAATAACTATTTAGGGTGAAAATGATCCGGGAGCAAAATATCTAGACGCAAAACGTCCGGGCATCGACTGAAAATCTGGTATGTAATTGATAATAACATATTCATTTTTTATTTGTTTATAATATTGTAACGGAAACGCTCCAGACATGACGTCGCCTTTGGCGCTCTGGAATTTTCTACGCGCGCGATAGTGGGATTTGTATAGGAATATTCCAGACTTATCCGGTAATTACGCGAGTGTTCTGGACTTACATTGCTTGCGTGTATAAATGGTTGCGGACCGAACATCGCAGCAGTTTTACTATCGAATGAGATCGAGTACGGACGAAACATTGAGCGCGAAAATCTGATATAAATTGCGAAGTGTGTAATATAAATGGTCGATATAAATTGTACAGTTTTTGTAGTGTTTAGTTTTGTTTAATAAATATTGATATAAATCGAACCCGAATTTATAAATCACGTTACAATAAGCTTCGTTTCAAATTTCCGACCGCATTGATACAGGAAATATTACGTATTCTGTAGATCATATAGGAATCAAAGTATAAACTATTTCCAACCTGGTTTACTTCCTAAGAGATGGAGACATATTATACACATACGTAGCACGATTTTATTTACTAACAAATTATAATGTTTTAATATTGGTACAGTTCACAATTTGACCATTCATAGTATGCAGTGAAAGTAATACAACGTGTATTACTTTCACTGCATACTATGAATGGTCAAATTAAACGAATTTAACGAAATAAGTGCCTGAATTACTGTTACCCAAATCCAGGATGGCAGTTAAGTATAACTTGTGACGAAACTTACACCCCCTAACACACAAAAAGTAGCTAGCCCACTCTAGTGAATAGCGCTATTGTTATTAACAGTGCTAACTTTACAAGTCATTGGTAGAGATGCTTGTTGAAACTGCAGCATAATGGTCATGTAAGTTGCGGCTGCACCGACAATCTAAAACACAATCACGACGTGTTAACAAACGTACCTTTTTTTATCTTACTATAAAGATTAGCGAAGCGTCGTATGGAAACATGCCCCAAATTGTAAATTTCACTCGACGATGCATCAAGAGCCTTGAGAAACTCATTAGCTGGAAAGAATATCAAGTCAGTCAATTAATGGTAGAGAGGGGACACAATGTTTGAAATTTGGAAACCTACTGCTGATATATTTTTTTAATTTCAATAAGATCATCCCAAAAAAGGGTGCAAACACTATGAATGTACGGACCTTGTACATCACCTCCTTATGATATGACTTTAACAGCAACTTGTGGACAACTGAAGCTGTAACACTTGCTTCAACGGATGCCAAGTGGCATGCAATTGAGGTATGAAGTACTTCAGTTATGTTAATCAACGCCCAAATTAACCAGCACAGTGCCGAGTATGGTTTTAAGGTAAACTAGAACGAAAATATTTAACATTGTCAACGTTGCCAACTTACCATCCAGTAGCAATAGAAGATAGAGAAAAGAATAATTCCATACTGGAATGCCAATATAACCACGACTGGTAGGGTGTAATTCACCGAAAGCTCGCATGCAACATCGCACAAGTGATCATACATGCGCATCAACGTATCCACTTTTCGGAGGGTTTCAGGAAGTTGCGCGTCTTCAAGTTTCCACTGAAATACTTTACCTTCGTGTTCTTTGAGTTTACGTAGCTGACTGTTAAGCATCGCAAATCGGCTGTGTACCAGCAAGACAATGTACGAGAATTGATATTCGAAAATATTCACCACGTACACGGGGAATACGAATATAAACCACGTTGAAAGGGATATGGGTCGGAAACCCTCCCGTTTAATATTCTGGTTTTGCATATACGCGTTTACAATTATCGTTAGTAGGGGTGGTAGCTGCGTTGCAAGTTGGTAAAAAATCATTTGCTTGTACCTCAAGTCTTGACCCATCCGTTCTAGGACTACGTCCACTTTATGTATCTTCATGATTGTGTTTTTGAGCGAGTCCGCTTTTAACACGCAGGAGAAGTACGTTGAATAGAAGTAAGTGACGCTCGCGAAGAACTCGAAGGCGATTCCGACATTAGAGACCTTATTGGACTGGTAGAAGTTGTTGGACATCATTTTGCTCCTCGTTTCACTTATTGTTTGCAAAAGCAAGAAACTGTAGAAAAGTACGAACGCGACGCTGATGTAATATAAGTACTTATGAGTGTAAAGCACAGGACGCTTCTCTTTATAGCCAATGAAAACGGGACATATTCCTAAGACACACGTAAGACTGACAGTTGGCGAAATTGCGTTAAAGAAATAGTCTGCACCCTGCATCTTAGAGGCTTTGATGCTCTGAGGGAAACTACCCCGAATACTTTAGCTAGGTATTTGAATAATTTACAACTAAGTAACAAGTGCTGTATCGATTCCACATTCATTGAATAGTCGATGTAGAGATATTACAAATGGGCATACTACAGTTTAAATGATGATGAAAGAAACATTTTATGATGTAGTTATATCAAATTGGACAGGATTTTACCTTTATTACGGTGAGCAGTGGCTGAACATAAAATTGAAGAAAAAAAAGGGTGAATTTTTTGGCAAATGAATAAATTTACTAACGTTTAGCTATGGTAACATAAATTTTTCTAATTTCCTTCAAAATTTTCCTTAAATTGTTTACTCGTAAAATTAAATACAAAATTACCGCAAAGTTTTGGAAATAGTTTTTTTGGGGATTTTTGGGTTTGCTATATTAATCAGAAGGTTACTATGTCGAAAGATACACCTCATATATCTGTGTATTTCTGGAGAACCTGGGGACATCATTTTACTTTCCCGGGGTTACCAATTTTCTGTACTTGTAACAAGTGTTTGGACAAATAATTGCGTGTGATTTTACTGGCTGTAATTATTCAATAGTTCCATTTGAACTGCGTCGGGCTTCGATCAGTTCCACATTCTAAAAGAGAGGTAGACCACGTAAGGTGTTTCCAAAAGTGGACTCCTTAGAGAATACTCTGGATTGAGATGTTTCTCACGCAATCCCAAGCACTCAATTAAGAAATCTGAAATTTTCGATTGCTATTCGAAGGAAATATGTTCTGGTTCTCTAGTGCCAACTCCCGCAGAATTTGGCAAACAATTGAAAGTCGTTTTGATTACAAGAGGCTTTGGTTCTCGTTCTGAAGATACACAATTCCACTTCGTGGGAATTCAACGGTTCAACGGTCCGTAAGAATAAAGCACAAAATTGATGCCTTCAAACCCAAAAAATAATAGGACTTTATTGGACATAAAATATCAATATAATAGGAAGCAAAAAAAGGAATAACATGATAGTGTCCAAACGGCGAAGTTCAGGTGTCGAAAAATCCTTACCTGCTCTTCCACTTAACCCTTTAATGGTATTACACAATATTATTTATAAGGCAAGCTTGAAATTACGGGTCCGTTAACTTAGCACCACCATTTCAAATTTCTGACTAAAGATAGATTGCGCTAGAATCTCTATGGCTAGCGCCAGCTAGCGCCACTTTGAGTTCAGCTAGCGCCATTATAGATTTTGCAGAAAAGCCCTTGACTTTCGGGGGGTGCTATGTTAACGCTAGCACCACCATTGCGTCCGATCATTTCCAAAAGCAAGCGCTGTGTTCATCAGACCTAGCGCCAGTGCTAGCACCACCATTTTGTTTTTTCCACCTAGCGCTAGCTAGCGCCACAAATTTTAGAGCTGCCATCACCCTCCAATAGTGTGGGGGGAGGGGGCACCACCATTTTGTCTTTTCGGGTAAAAATTTGATGTTTTCTGTTCTGTAGACCTAGCGCTCAAGTTAACCTAGCGCAATTATAGATTTTACAAAAAGCCTTTAACTTTTGGGGGTGGTATATTAACGCTAACACCACCATTGTGTTCAATGAATACTAAAAGCAAGCGCTGCGCTGTGTTCTTTAAACGTAGCGCCACAAATTGCAGAGCTGGCGCCCAATCCCCAACATTGTGGGGGGTCCTATTTTTTATATTACCACCGGTTTGTTTTTTTCGTGTACACTTTTATTATTTTGTGTTTTGCTGACATATCTCCCAGAGTCAAAATCTTAAGAGTTGGCGGCACACCCAAGTAGTCTGGGACAGTTTTTCCTAGCTTTAAGACTGAAATATTTTGGATTCATTTTCGAGTAAAACGATTGGTGCAGTAGCTGAATCTGCGGCAAGTATAAAAATAAGGAAATACAGTTCAATTATAGAACAGAACCACATTTTTATACCTTTCGCAGTAGAGACATTGGAACCTGAGAAAACGCATTACCAATATTACAGGGGAAAATGTCAACGAACGTACCTACTCATAACCAGAACTGGGCAATATTCGATTTTGTAAATACTTTTTAGTATTCAAATACTTTGTAATTAAATACTTTTATGGAAGCAGTATTTGTATTTGTAACTCAAATAGGTACTTTTGCAAATTTTTAGTATTCGAATGCTTAGCAAAGTATTCGAATACTTCGCATAGCATTTGAATACTTTTAAGTAATTCAAATATTTGACAACTATTTAGAAATTTTTAGAGGAAGTTTCCGTTATCACAAAATCAAATATAAAAATCCGATGCAACATGAATACCGAACGAGCCTGGAGTGAAACTTTTTGACCCGATACACACGGACAGACGGACGGACAAAAAAGGATCTGTTTCAAAATCGCTAGAATTAATTTCAGAGAGGTGTACGTGTCATGTGCACGACGTACGATGGCTTTGAAAACTGGTACACGTATTCTTAAGGATATAACTGATATAAGACAGGTCATGGTACTGGTACGTCCTATATAATAATATAATAACAATAATACGCTTTTACTCCCCTTAAATTTGTATATAACAATAGAAATATAAAAAAAGCTAACCTCAGCTCAGGGAAAGGGACTACATTCTGTGCATAAAACGCTGTTCTTCCATGTTGCCTCTATACAAAGTATAACTTGACATTTTTTAAGTATTATTAAGACTTTTATCTAGTACTATTTTAAATTTTTAATGTATTTGAGTGACAAGTATTCGAATATTTTTTATAGTATTAGAATATTTTTGAAAGTATTCGCATCAATCAGCATATTTATTTGTTAATTCTGCTAAAAAACAAAGAAGTAGATTCTTATATACTTATGTGTAATGTGCAAATAATCATAAGGCATATGCATTTTATGATTAATACACTCCATTAATATACGACCAATCAGCTTGGTGATTGTTTCAAATTCTAACCAATCAGATGATTTTTTATCTGATTAAACGCCACGTAGCTTTTTAACAGCGATAAAAATGCGTGTAGGAATACGTAAAATATGTAGTGGTTGTAAAATTTACTGTCTTTTATTAATCTCCCTAAAATACACTCGACCTTGGTTTTAAGTCAGGATAATTTTATTTTTAATTCACTCAAATTTTGTTGCCTCCTGGAAAAAACTCTCAAAAAGGATAATATTAATAAAATCGCTCCAGCTAAAACTGTCGCGATTTTATCACACTTTTGGTCTCGAGTTTTTTCGGTGGCAACAAAACTTTCGTGTAAGAATAAAATTATCCGATTAAAAATCAAGCTCTTGTATATTTGCTCCCGATAAATTATATACCTATGTACGTCGCGTCGACTACTATCTAAAGGTGTTGTTTTTAACAATACAGATATACCAAACTTTACACAATTGACGCGCCTGTAAACCCTTGATGTGACAAATAATTTACAACTTTTGCGCATTCATAAAGGATTTAAGTAAGTTTGTACCTGCATACCTCACCGTCTGTTTACTTTGAAATGAAGGGATGTTCATATTTACAATCTTGCTACTTTACATACAAATTTTAGTATTTTTATTGGAACTTTTTTACTTTAAACAGAACGATCAATCCAAAAAGTAAAGGATTTCAAATTAAAATAATTTGTTTATTATTTCCGACCCTAAGAGGGACAGATTTGCACATTCGGGTTTAAAAATGGTAAAGAGTTTGACCATCCCAGATGCGGTGTCTGTCCGTGCTGTTGGCAATATAGCGCAAAAAATAAGGAAGGCCCTTTTGACATCTACGTGAGTTTTGAACCGAATTGCATGAAACTCAATATTCGTATAGCTTTAGCTATATAACACGCAATTCCAAAAGTTGAGCCTAATCTATCAACAGTGACAGTGCCCTTTTCGCATCGACGTGTAAATAAATATAGAAAACGAGCTCCTGGATATGGCTACAGCATGTGCAAAACCAAATTTTGAACTTGGTGTTAGTTTTGCTTTTATTTAAATTGTATATGTATGAAATTTCATTTAATTGCTTCCATAAATAAGAAAATTGGCACCGCACATCATGCACAAAACCAAATTTTGAAACTGGCGTTAAATTTGCTTTTATTCCAAGTTGCTATGTATCAAATTTCTTTTAAATGCTTCCATAAATAAGAAAGTTTTCAATCCGGATTGTAAATGGTCGAGATGCGAAAAGGGCACTGTGAATGTTGATCGATTAGGCTCAACTTTTGGAATTGCGTTTGATATGGCTAAAGCTATACGCATATTGAATTTCATGCAATTCGGTTCATAACTCACAGAGACGTCAAAAGGACCTTCCTTATTTTTTGGGCTATATTGCCAATTCACCAACTCCGATCTACAAATTTGATAAAGAATCCATCCATTTCATCGTAATCGGTCAATTCGTTATCGAGATATCGTGCTAACGGACAGACGGACAGACACCGCAAAATTATAAAACTAGCTCTAAAATTAGTGGCGCTAGCCGGCGCTAGGTCAGCAGAGCACCAAACGTAAAAATTTTACCCGAAAAGACAAAATGGTGGTGCTAGGAAAAATTGCCCCCCACCCTATTGGGGGGTGGCGCTAGCTCTAAAATTTGTGGCGCTAGCTGGCGCTAGGTCTGTCGAACACAGCGCTTGCTTTTGGAAATGATCGGACGCAATGGTGGAGCTAGCGTTAATATAGCACCCCCCGAAAGTCAAAGGCTTTTCTGCAAAATCTATAATGGCGCTAGCTGAACTCAAAGTGGCGCAAGCCATAGAGATTCTAGCGCAATCTATCTTTAGTTAGAAATTTGAAATGGTGGTGCTAAGTTAACGGAGCCTTGAATTATGATGAGCATGGAAATAAGGGATGTAGTATAGTACGAAAGATATAAATAAACAATAATTTGATACTAATGAAGTAACGTACATCACAGTTAATTACGGACTTGGTTTTTAAACTTTTTAACATAGTAAAATAGAACGTGGTCACGTACAATGTTATAAGATAGGTAATATTTTGGAGGGGGCTAGAGGAA